ACCTTCTAGGTTAATTCTTTTTGATCTAACCTTTTCTCTAATACCTGTTCCCCTTTTCCTATTGGCCTCAGTTGCTTTAAGGTATCTGCTTTAGTTTCTCTGTGTTAAGGGCAACAAATGCTAGCTAGAAGAACCCCTATGTTTCTGTATCAGCAAAATTAATATTGTTAAATTTGCCGTATTACCAAAAGTGATACACAAACTCATTGTAGTCTCCATCAAAATTCCAATCACATTCTTCATAGAGATAGAAAAGAAAATCCCAAATTCATGCGGAAACACAAAAGACTCTGAGTAGCCAAAGCAATCTTGAGCAAAAAGGTCAATGCTAGATGTGTCACAATACTTGACTTCAAGCTATACTACAGAACAATAGCAACAAAAACAGACTGGCACTGGCACACAAACAGACACATGAACCAGTGGAATAGAATAGAAGATCCAGAAGTAAGCCCAAGCAGGGTTTGCCATCTGATTCTTCAAAAAAGCACCAAAAACATATGTTGGAAAAAACATTGCCTCTTTAACAAGTCCTCTTAACAAACTGGTTATCCACATGTAGAAGACTGAAACTAGATCCTTATCTTTTACCCTGAACAACAATCAACTAAAAATGGATTAAAAACATTGATGTAAGACCTCAATCTTTAAAATTACTAGAGGAAAATACACAAGAAGCACTTAAAAATAACAGCCAATGAGTTTCTGAATAAGACTCCAGTAGCTCAGAAAATAAGAGCAAGAATTGACAAAAGAGATTGCATCAAATTAAAAAGCTTTTGCTCGGCAAAAGAAACAATCAAGCCAGGTACTGGTGGCTCACACCTGTAAATACTAGGTACTTGAGAGATGAAAATCAAGAGGATCATGGTGTGAGGCCAGCAAAAAAGTTAGTGAGACTCAATCTCAATAGAATAAAGAGTGTATGATGGCACATGCCTGTCATCCCAGCTTTGGAGGATCATGGTCCAAGTTGGCATGGGCACAAAGCAAGACCCTATTCCGGAGTAACAGAGCAAAAAGTGCTAGAGGCATGGCGTGAGCTGTGGAGTGCCTGCCTAGCAAGCATGAACCCTTAAGTTCAAACCCAGTGGTGCTGGGGTTTGAAAAACCCCAGTGAAAAAAAGAAAACAAAAACACAAAGCAGATATAGCCTACAGAATGGGAGAAAATCTTTGCTAGATATTCAGCTAATGGGATCGGTATCTAGAATATATATAATGAATATATAAAGAACTCCAAACATTGAACACCAAAAGATCAAATAATCCAACCAATAAATTGGCAATGGAACTGAGGACACATGGCCAATAATTCATGAAAAGATATTCAATATCCTTCCTATTGTTAAAGTACAAATCAAAACTACACTGAGATTCCATCAAAGCCAAGTTAGAATTGCTATCATCAGAAAAACAAAAAAAATAAGAAATGCTAGCAGACCCAGGGAAAAAGTAACCTTTATTTACTGTTGGTGGTGATATAAATTAATCCAGCCACAATGGAAATCAGTAAGGAGGTTCCTCAGAAGTTTAAAATAGACTGTCTGTGTGATCCAGTCATACCACTTCTGAGTGTATACCCAAAAGAGTCAAATGCAGCTTATAATAGAGATACCTGTATAGCCATGTTTATCACCACCCTATTTGCAATGACCAGTTTATGGAATCAGCCTAAGTGCCTATTAGTGGATGAATGGAGTTTTACTCAGCCCTAAGAATGAAATTACATCATTTGCAGGAAAATGGTTAGAAACACAGATCATATTAAGTGAAATAAGTCTGTCCCACAAGTAGTATATGTTTTATCTCATTTGTGGATGTTAAGGGGAGAGAAAGAAAAACAAAGTCATGAAAGTAAAAGGGGGACTACTAGAGAAATGGAAGAGGATCTGGTTAAAAAAGTAATAATAATAGTACTGTGATTATAAGTTAACTGTCAAAGTACATTGTATGAATGTGTAGAAATGTCATAATTTACTTCTTAAATAAGTATATGTGAATAAAATTTTAAAATTGAGAGAAATATATCTAATATTTGGAAATGGGAACATGTTATACTTGCCTTCTTCATGCTTGCTTTTAGAGTTGTATATTTATGTGATTTTAATGGTATGTCACTTTTGCTGTCCATGAGTTTCTTATGCTATATGTAAATTCTGGAGCAAAAGTTACAGTTTTTAAGGCGTCCTGTATGGTCCATCATGAATTTACAAAGAACACATTATTTTCTATTTCTTACTTTCTTCTATTGGGGAGATGCAGGAAAATAGGATGTTTTCAAAAATAGGCATGCTCATGAGTTTGATGCCTTTCAATGTTATCTTTTCCATGCCTGCAGGTTTAATATCGATGATGGATGTGGCTTAGTAATGTGTGCAGTGATCGGAATGTCAGTATCTTTAAGTGTTTGGATTAGTAAGTCCCCAAAAGTCTCAATAACAAATTCATTGTAAATAATTTTCTATAGTGATTGTTGCACAGATGTGAGACACTAGATAGACTTCTAGATATGCATAAATATCCACAGTTTAGTAACAAAAGGGTTATAGTTTTGAAGAATTCATTCAGGATTATAATACAAATGTATGCCACTGAAAAGACAGAAAAAAATGAAGAAAATGCCCCAGCTCTTCTTCAAGGTGGTGGCAGGAAAAAAGGAGTCAAAGGAATTGTTATTCCCTACGGAAAAAAACATTAAAATTGTATAAATTCCCTGTGGAATCTAAAACTTGATTCTGCTCTTTTTTTTAAAAAAGTCTTTAAAAATCACATTATGTGTGCGTCCGGCTAGCTCATTCAATAGAGCATGAGACTCTTAAAAATCACATCTGAATACACCACAGACGAATTGTACCTTCTGTGTAAGCAGCACTTTATTTTGCTTGAGTGTTTGGATATTTTCTTTAACAAGTTTTAATGAGTGATTATGTTGAATGCAGCCTAACTTTTATTATTCCAAATTGGACTATGAAAGTGTTGATAACTTTTACAAGAAGGAAAAGAAGTTAGCAGGAAAACTCAAATAGGGTCAGATTCTGACATTTTATTATGGGTTCACTTTTAAAATGCACTTACCTTTTTAATATATTACATGGCAAACCATACACTGAAGGCAAATTGTTACAGGTTTCATAACCATTCCAACTATTCCAGCACCTTGCTGCACATAGATGTACCTAAAAAAAAATAGCCCTTAAAAATCCTTTATTTTAGAGAGAATGTTGGAGGGTATGAATTCAACTATGATGTATTGTAAAAACTTCTTTGTAAATGTCACAACCAATAAATTGTTTGTACACCCAGTACAACAACAATAAGAAAAAAACCCTTTATTTTATCAACCTTCATAATTTTCTTATGAATTAAAAAAATCTATGATTCTTTTCTGGTTGTAAACTGTAGAATACTTGTATGGCTTATGCTTTTTGATTTTTGTTTTCTTCTATAAGTTCACAGTCTGAAACTTTGCTTTTCAAATGATTTTGCTAAATGCCTACTCGAATATCAATATTCATTAAAATTTATTGAATTCACAGATATCAGGCACCAGGGATTAATTCAAACAGAATATAGTTCTTGCATTTGAAAATTTGAGGAGGTTAATGTAAAAATAGCTAGTCTGCTTAAAAACAGATAGTAACCATTGCAAAATCAGAAATTCTTACTTGTTTTTATTGCTGTGTTGTCAGTAAGTTAAATAATTGTATAGAAATGCCAGAAAGAAAGAAAAAAAAAACCTTAAGCAAGATGATAGCTCAAGTATGAGAGAGTTTGTCAGGAAGGAAAGGGGACCAAGGATGTTAGTAACACAAAGTCATGGTATTAGGATGAAAGAGCATGGACTTTTTAGGAAGCAATCAATATAAAATTCTGTGTGGCAGCAGCATGGGACAGTAGAAGGATGTGAAGTTTCCATGAGTGGTTGGTTGTTACCAAGTCATGAAGACCTGTGTGACAGGGTAAGGAAATTCACCATCAGGGAACTGAGTGTTTTCAGTAATCAGGAAGCCCAGGATTTTGAATTGGTATTAATATTTAAACTTTTTTTGGCCCATTACTGTTACACTGAATGGTATACAATATATTTAGACATTCTATTCATATATAATAATATATGCATCTCTACTTAGTAATTCTTAAATTAATAGTTAAAATCTCTGGGAAGTTTAAATTGTTCCTTATTTCTGAGTGAACTAAAATTTATTTTAACTTTGTGAACTAGTGACTATTTAAGAAATTATCAAATTCAACTACAAATACAATTTTAGAAAAGTAATGTATTAAGTTTTCATATAAGTTGGTGAATTTAATGAATATAGAATTGTCTTTTTTCAAGAACTAAATTATTAATGTTGATTGTAAATTGTTTTCTGTGTTTCTTCTTAAAAAATTTAATTACACTGTTATACTTTATTGTATTAAGTAAGAGATAGTGATTTGATTAAGCATTTTCTTCCAACTAGGAACAAATGCTAACTATGAGAGCAAATCCTTTTGATCATGAATTGCATAAAATTTTCTGAAAAAGTCCTATTAGTGATTTGGAAAATAGGAATGATTTGTTCTTAGAATTCAGTTTCATTAAGAAGAATGGCTCAGAATTGCCTAGAGAAATTACCAAATATTGCACTCAAAATTCCTTTAAACGAATGATGTTGAGTTCTTTTCAATGTATCCATTCAACAAAATTTTCAGTTCTTGGTTTTGAAAACAGTACTGAAGTGTCTGCTGATTTTTAATGCTGTGCTGTTGTAATTGCTAATAATGCAAAGCATTTTCCTGCTTTATACCAAAAAATTTACATTCAAAATGTGTGTTCTCTGATTTCTTTTCTTACAGCTTGCCAGTATTTGCTGCGTGCTGAAATGTTTTAATTTAAAATTTCCTTCCTTTGTATCTTTTAGTTTTCTCTGTTGCTGCTTTTTCTGTGACACAAGCCTTTCATTATAGTCATTCTTCTTTTTTCCTTCCCCACTTCTTTCTTTTCCTTTTTTGAAGCCATGAGAAGCCGATCCATTGGTGAATGTGCTCTGCCATCGGCCTATATACGCAGTGCTAAAAGTGCTCCTGTTCTGATCCATACTTCCAAACCCTTCTTGCCTGATATTGTTCTCACTCCCCTTTCTGATGAGCTTTCAGGTAGTGCCACCTCTGCTAATTTCTGCACCACCTTTTTCACTTGTTAATCCTCTGCTTTCAAATTTTGCTTAATCAAATAAACTCTTCAAAGTTAATTTCTTTGGGGGAGGTGTGGAAAACTGGGAAATAATTGAGAAATCAACATTTTGAGTTATTTGAACTCTAATGCTATCCTTGCAGTTCATTCTGGAAGTGCGAAGTTTAGTGCTGTGCCAATGTCCAATATTTTGGGTTGTGAATAGCCATTGTTTTGGCTTTGTTTGATTTTTTTTTCTCTCAGGTGATTAAAATTAGTAATATTAAATATTTATAACATAGATGTCTCACAAGAAATGACAGAAGATAATTAGAGCCTTGACTTTAAATTTTCCATTGTTTTGACTCATGATACAGCAAATCTTGAATAATTTCTTTCATCCTGTATATTAATCATTAGGAAAAGAACATAATCTAAATGTTGTTTTGAAATAAATCTTTGTATTTACATTAGAATACTAATATGTAATTTATATATACTAATATGTAACATATGTTAATAATATAGTATAATACTAATACTAATTTATAGAATACTAATTATGAAGTCCTGAGTTCAAGCAGCTTGAAAGCCTGCTTGGCTTTCCCATTCTGCCTCAGGTCTCTGATCCTCAGTACTGGATGGCATGTTCTTTTATTAAGGGTTAATTAACATATAATAAAATGCATAGATCTTGGATTCAGCTCATTGGGTTATGAGAATTCTATACACCTCTATTCACCATCATCTGAACAAAATATGGAACATTTCCATTACCTTAAAATTTCCTTACCTATCTATGTCAGTAACCTCCCACTCCGTGCCTCCACATACACAACCATTTCTTAATTTCCATCACCATAGATTATTTTCACCTTTAAAATTTTTTGTGTGTGAAAAAAATCCATACAGTGTCTCATGTTTTGGACAAAAACAAATTCGTGTTGAATACAGTTATTATGCAATGTCTTAGTTCAGTGAAATTTACTCGTACTTTCCCTGACATTGCCACTTTTGGTGAGGTTGTTGGTAGTTTTTGCTTTTTTTTTTAAGCCTTTCAAGTTCCTGTTGAATTGGAGGATCTGTGAGGGAAGGTACATTTTTATTAATGATGATATTTCAGGGATAGTTCCTTCTATTATCTCTAATTCCATTAAGATTAGAGATTTCCTCTAATCCAGCAAGGGTAAAATAATTGAGAATTGTGTATCTGCATATTTAACAGTGTCTTACATTTGGTTTTCTTTGAAAATATTGTAAATGACAAAACTTAGAATTTGCATTCTCCAAATGGGAAAATAAACATTCAATTATAGGCTATGTTATGCTTGTGTTTTATAGTTCAGGATACTTTGATGGGTAATAGTTACTTCAGAATAGTTCTATGTTTTGAAAAGCACTTAAGTATTACTTTGAAACCATAATACAGTTATGTAGAAATAGTTTATAATTAAATTCATATTGGGTTTTTTTGCATTTTAATTGATGGCAATAATAAAATAGAAAATTTGGCCTCAATCCAAACCTCGGGCACTCAAAAAATATTTAATGTATGAAGGAATAAATTTTATACTAGGCAACCTAGATATTTTAAGCTATCAGTGCAAAACAGTAGGACAGTTAGAAGATAGAAGGAATAATGTAACATAAATTCTAACAAGTGGGAGAAAATGACACAAATTTTTGTTACATGTAGTGCTTAACTACATAAAAAGAATTTGGATATTTTGTTTCTTCGGGGCTTTATTTAAGCCCTGTACCTTCCCATGTGAGTATAGGTGGTAACCACTAACTCTTAAAAGTTTGATTGTATCAGGCTGGGAGTGGTGGCTCTCACCTGTAATCCCAGGTTCTTGGGAGGCAAAGCTCAGAAGACAGCAAGACCTAGGGTTGTGCATTCCTGTGACCCCAAGTAGGCAGAGGGCTATATGTACACAGTTTGAGGCAGGCCCAAACAAAAACATGAAGCCCCACCTGAAAAATAACTGAAGCGAAAAAGGGTTGGTGACTTGGTTCAAGTGGTAGAGTGCCTGCCTACCAAGCTTGAGGTTTAAATACAAAAAAAGAAAAAAAAAATTGGTTTGATGAGCTACTCTTCTGTCTTAAAAAACTATCAGAAAGCTTGCTTTTTTTTTCCCTCACAGTTTTCATGCTTTATAAAGTTTTTTGTCTGCAGATTAAATACTTTGGAAAATAGTCATCTTAAGTGAGAAAATATTTTTAAAAAGCTAAAATAAGCAAAAGGTTGTTCCCTTTTAAATGGTTAAAAGTACTGCCTTTGCCAGCATAAGAAGTTCCTGTTTCAGAATTCTTGCTTTGCTGTAAATACATAATTCAGAAATACTATCTTTTAAAAACATTTTTATGATTTAAACATTTATTAAGAATGTTTAAAAAGAATTTTTTGTTTAAGGGGTTTTCTTGGTAGTGCACTCAAGGTCTTATGCTTATTGAACAAACGCTCTACCACTTGAGCCATGCCCCTTTTTTATTTTTCAGATAGGGTCGTGTTCTTTTTTTTTGTCTGTGAACTCAGACTGCAGTTCCCCTGACCACATGATCCTCATACCTATGCCTTTTGCAGAGCTGAGATTATATGTGTGTACCACCATGCCTGGTTTGTTGAGATGAGGTCTTGCTAAATTTTGCATAGGCTGGCTTCAAACCATGGTGCTACTGATCTCTGCTTCCCAGGTATCTGAGAATACAGGCTCATCTGAAAGAATTTTCTAAATGTTACTTACTGTTTTTGTTTTCGCTGTTTGAGATAAAATGCCTTCTGTGATAAATTTAAAGATGTAAACAATGCTGAGACACCAGTCACTAAAACAAAACATTCTATACTGGACCGGTAATAATAAATGCTCATTTTAAACATGGATATATATAAGCAAAACTGTTGCTTATTTACTGATAATTTTTCCTACTAGTTTTTATACATGTGTACTTGTAAAATATAAAAGAAAACCTGAATTAAAATTCATTTTTCTTTTAGGACTTGTAAGAGGCAAGAAACATCATTTTAAAATAGCAGCACCCCATTTTTGAAACCACCATTTTTCAAGATGATGTAGAAATTTAGGGTATTTTCATAGATGTAGAGAAAGAAAATGTTAAAGATGCACAGTGTCCATCAATATATTGAAGGCCTCCAGAGTCCTGTTTTTTTTTTTTAAAAACTGTAGCTGATCATGGCTGCTGATCATACCTGTCAGTAGCTACACAGGAGGTGCAAATGGTTCTTTGGAACCCCTCTCAGTCTGCCCATTATCCCAGCCAAGGGGAAGTATAAACAGGATTACAGTCCAAGCCAGCCCCATTAGAAAAATGCCTAAAGGAGAGCGTGCTAGGGGCATGGCTTAAGTAGTCTAGTGCCTGCCTAAGCAAGGGCAAGACACTGAGTTCAAATCCCAGTACCATCAAAAAAATCCCTGCATAATCTAATATTTCTCAGATTTATTTAAGCCTAGAGCATCTTTCTAGGTACATATATTGACATCCTGTAGCATTAAGGTTCCAAAGAAGACAAGTCAGGAAAACTTTGGACTAGTTCCCTAATTAAAAATTAGAACTATGAAAATCAAATAGTATTATTCTTATACAAGTATACAGTGTAGTGATCTGATTTATTGGAGTGATTATTGCCCTGCGGTTCATGGAGTCAAACTGAAGGCATAAGTTTGCTTCTTCAAGGGTTTGGTGGAAGAGAGGGAGAGGAGAAAAATGAGTTATAGGAGTAGAGATTTGTAAAAATAGTACTAATTTAATAAATGAAAATCACCAAAGTCATGGATTGTCAGTCAGTCCAACTAGTTAATTCTGTAGGGTTTTCCAAAGTTTGATTAAGTTTAGTTTGGAATAGTTTGATGTACAGAGCTAAGGACTAACGTTCAGTGGTAGAGAGCACTTGCCTTCCATACTGAAGGCTCCAGCACTGCAAAAAAAAAAAAAATTTTTTTTCATGTATAAACCATTGATGTACACTCAAGTCAGAGGGAAGCCATGCATGGTGGCACATGCCTCCTGAACCCAGCATTTAAGAAACAGGCAGGAGGATCAGCTGATCAAGGCTAGCATGGGCTACATAGCAAATTCTAGGCCACCTTATACTTAATGAGACTGTCTTAAAAATAAAATAAAAGAACTAATAAGGAAAGTAAACTACATAAAGGAAAACTGGTTTTTCATGGTTTTATGTTGTGTTTGCAAGCCTTAATGAACTCATACTACTGAGGTCAAGAGTTGAGGTTTCTGTGACTGTTTCACCACAAAAATAAAATAAAATTGAAATCCTCATGAACAGTCACTCTAGTTTTTGATTAGGAATAAAATTCTCTCAGAAAAATATTTACCTAAGCCTGGCATGTTGGTACACACCTGCAATCAGTCCCAGTGCTCAGGAGGCCGAATCAGGAAAATCTTGAGTTTGAGGCCAGCCTGTTTACCTAAAAAGACCCTATCTCTAAAACAAACAAACAACAAAAAAACAAAAAGAACAAAAGTGTATACTTTATACTCTTGATACTTTTGGAGGGAGGTAAAATGAAACTCCTTTTAATCCTCCCTGTGTGTGTGTGTGTGTGTGTGTGTGTGTGTGTGTGTGTGTGTTTTAAACATACTAAAATCTTTAAAAGGACTGTCAGTTTTCAAAGTGCCCTGTTTTGGGCTAGCCCTTTTTTTCTTTTGCATGATTCTTACGTGTCTGTTCTACCTACATTGTTATGAGTGCAGTGTTGTGCAATATAACTTTATATACAGCTATAAACTAACTTAGTTGAATAACCGAATACCTATGGGACCAATTTAAGGGCATTGCCATTATGCCACTCTGACACATAAGACTCATCTTTAACAATTGAAAGAATTCACTTTCTCAGGTCCTTGATTTCCATACAGTATACTGGGGGTTGCACAAACACTTAACATCCCTTTTTATATGTCAGCTGATACTGGTGACTGGGCAAGTATGCTCCTAGCCTTCCTCCTATCTGTCACTGAACATTACTGCACTAGATTGTATTTCTATGCATTTGGTAGCCAAAGCCTCACAGCTTTTCTTTTCAGATAAAAGAAAAGCCAGAAGTCTCAGTCATCTTTCTTAAGCAAATTTGCTCTTTCTGCCAAAAAATAACACCTTAATAAAAAAAAGAGATATAAAATAATTTAGAAACAAATAAGTAAAGAAGAGCTTAGGGATGTAGCTCAAGTGGGAGAGTGCTTGCATAGCATCTGTGAGGCCCTGGGTTCAACCCCACTACCACAAAAAAAGAAAAAGAAACTAAAAAAGGAAACTTGAAATGGTAGGCGTTGTATTTTATGTATACTTCTCCAACTGTTGATATGTTCTAATTAAGTATGTAGATCCAACCAGTTCTCAAAAATTGTTTCCCATTTTTATTGCTGTTTATTCCAGGTCATTGAGGCCACAGTGTAATAAGCTGCTAATGTTTGGGGACAGATTGCTTTTTACTAATAATACTTTATATTTTCATCTTTGTACTTCTGTTTTCTGAATATCAGAAGACAGAAGATGGTCTCTTGCCACACTCTTCTCCTATCTAAATTCTTGCCTAATCAGGAGAATTTTCTATCTCTAAGGAAACAAGTATATAATTCTTTATAAAATCAATGAATTTCTTTTTCCTATCATCAATATGCAATAAGATATTCATCTTTTTTTAAAAAAAGAAAAATTTGAAGCTAATTAAAAATGGCAATATGTGACATGTTTGTAAACAAAGCACCATTATTTTCTTAACATAAAAATAGGTTAGTCACGTGTGAACCTATTTTATGTCCAGAATATAAAAGTCATAAAAACTTAAGTAAACAATTTTATGAATTCAGGAACTATAAAAATATTACTGACTAAATACTTGTCCTTGACCAAGGAAACAATTTAACTTTGATAAAAGAAGTAGATGTTGGCACTTTTGTAAGTCATTTTAGAAATTCTTAAAAACTTCTAGTGGTATGTTAGTATTCTTACTTAAGAGATTGTTTCTTGGTTTTAAAAAACTATTTGATTTTTACCAATTAGCTGCTATTTTTTTAATATAAAAGATAATACTTTCCTTCTAAAAATATTTATTAAGCTCATAGTATGTGATAAGTACTTTTTCAAGCATGAGGATATTGTGATGAATAAGACAAAATTCCTGAAGGAACCTAAATTCTAGTGGAAGGTAGCTTTTTTCTTACCTTATAATTAATATTATAAGCTAATATTAATACTTTAATATACAGCTTACCTTTCAAACTAGCATAGGAAACTTTTCTTTGAAATATTCAGGAAAAAAGGTGATCTTTTAACACAAAACTAATTTCCATTATGTTAGTGCTCAATATTGAACCTGGCATTTTTATAAAATTGTAGGCTTTCTTTGAAGCATTTTCTCAGTGTCTAAAGATTTTTTTTCTTATTTGCTAAAGACATTTTTTCATATTTTACTCATTAAATGGTTTTTAATAAGTTAGGTTAAGATAATTAAAGGCTTCTATTTTCTAAATTAAAATGTAAACAGCATAATTAAATTATTTTGAAAGACATGTTTATTTAAACCTGATGCCAGCATTATTTTAATAATCAAATACAGAGTTTTTTAGTTGTTTTCCTCTGTATAATTTATTAGTATTTGTTTTGTCTAGGTTTGTATTTCTAAGATTCTTATCTTTATAGAGGTAAATCACTGTGCTGGTATAAGAGTTTCCTAATAATACATTTTTAACCAAATCTTCATTTTAAAATAACTCATAAATATAAAACATATATAACAAAATCAAGAGACTAAGAATGCATTCATTTTTTTGCTAAATCACAGCTCTTCACTTTATAGCTTTGTAGCTTTGGGCAACTTGCTTAAATGGTTCTTCATCAATAATATAGGGGAAAAAACACTTCACAGGGTTATTTTGAGAGTGAAATGAATTAATAAATGTAAGGAGCTTAGAACAACATCTGGCATGTCAAAAACTTTATATGCTTTAGCTATTATTTAATCTTTTTCTCCTCAGTAAAATTCAGGTATATTTTCCCAACTATATTTAAGAGTTGTTAGAGTTAATTAAACTTAATTGAAGTGTTGATATGAGTTTCCTGTCAGCATTATTTTCTTCTTTTATTTTATACAGTTAGTATTATCTTGTGTTCATGCAAGAACTATATTTAAAGTTTGACATCAATATTTATTTAGATTTAAACTCTCCACTACATTACTAGTTAAAAAAAAAGTATTCAGTTAAATTTTTGAAAGCTCTTGCCCTCTTAAACTTGTACAGAAGTTGTAGTATCCATATGTGATAACAATTTTAATAAGAAAACAGGTATTTTTAACATGCCATGTGAGGGCTGTGTTTGGGAAGAAATTCATAAAAACAGAACTTTTTACAGTATTTCTTCATGGCTTCATTAGAATGGAAAAATTATGAAATATCAATAAAGGAAACTAAAAATTAAAGCTAATGCTCTACTTTTCCTTTAAGGTCATATATTTGTTGGCCTTGTAACATTGGATTTGATGTTTTAAAATCTTGACTTTGAACTTTGATAAAATCCCCACTATAAAATTCTTAAGAATTTTCATAGAAAAGTTATGTAGTCTTTACCCTTTCTGTATCCTTTAGGCTTTAAGTGAAAAAGAAACCTGGAGTGCATATTGAAAATAGTATCTGCCCACAAGGCAACAAATCAGAGTATTTACATTTGTCCAGAGGCACAAAATAAATATGCATTAGTCATCTGAGGCAGTAATAAGTACTTAATGAGTATAAATGTGAAGTCTGTAAGGAAATATTTTACTTTTTATTAGAAAAAATTCCAAATGGAGTGCATTATGAAAGAAAGCCAACATCATTTTTTAAGTATCTATGTCTCCCCCAGCTTAGTAACAAAAAAACCCATTTCATATACTATTATACTTGACCTGTATTAGGAGCCTGTATGTATATCTTCAGAAATATACTAGAAGCTTGGCATAACATAAACCTCTGTTCTGAATTTAGTATAAAGTGGATCCTCGAGTCTCATACAAACAGAGGGTAATATTAATGAAATAGCAGAAATATTGCCTCCTTTAATTCAAGCATGGATCCTGAAAGTACTTTGTAGGACAAATCCTCTCAATAAACAAGAAAAGTGTTCTCAGACTCCAGTGTAAGTAAACCTAAATTGAAGACCTAGTTACCATTAAGAAAATACTTTGTGCTTCTACACAAATGACTATAAATTTGGGAGTGGGGGCAGTACTTGGGGTTTGAATTTAGGGCTTCATCCTTGCTAGGCAGATACTCTACTACTTGAGCCATGCCTCCAGCCCTTAAATTTTCATTGTGATCTCTCAGTTGTACTTCTGTTACTTTTTTTTTTTTTTTGGAGACAGGATCTCACTATCATCTAGGCTAAATTGGGCTCAACCTTTTGATATTCTTGTTTCTACTTCCCAAGTGCTGGAGATTATAGGCCTGTACCCCCATAAGCCTAATACAAAGCAACATAGACTTAAATCTGTCCTTTTATCATTATATTTTGCTGGCTTCTGAAACATTGTTTGTTATTCCTAGATAACCTAAAAACCAGGGTGGATTCATAGATATATATTTTTTTGGTTTTTGTTTATCTTTTGGCAGTGCTGGGGTTTAAGCTCAGAACTTTGTGCTTGCTAGGCAGCTGCTCTACCATTTGAGTCATACCTCTAGTCCTGGACATTATATTTAACTTACAAAATTCCTTCTTAAAAAATGTGTATGTATCTGAACAGTTAAGTGGCATTTCACCTTGTGATTGTTAGTTTGATATATATTTTGAGGATTTATCATATACTTAGCATTTAAGGTAGTAAAAACAATTTAATTACAGTAAGCCTACTTCTCATACTTTTTTATAAAATAATCTCTCTGGGCCTCAATTTCTTCCATCTGTAAGGCAATTAAATTAGGTAATCTCTAAATGTCCATTTTGAATCTGTTGTTCTTTAAAAGAAATGTAAGAGTTGGGCATGGTGGTATACATCTATAAAACCAGCACTCAGAAGGCTAAGGCAGGAGGATCATGAGGTGAGGCCAGCTGAACTACATAACAACACCCTGCCTCAAAAAAAAAAAAAAAAAAAAAAAACCAACCACAAAAAACAGATGTAAGAAGATACAGTTTTTAGAGTTTGATGGCTATTTGACAAGGCAGGTAAGGTTTCTTTCTAGCAGATTTAAATAATGTTTTTGTCAAAAACAAAAAGAATTATTTTTTTATAATATATTGACTTTATTTGATGACAGTGAATAGATTTTAATACTATAGTAAAATATAGTAAACACTTCAGTAGAATGGATGATTTCCTATCAAATAGAACTTTAAGGAAGAGAGTGGAGATTTCCATTTACAATACGTGATCAGTCAGACCACAGATCAAGCAAAGAGTTGAAAAAAGATGATGACTGTTACCTGCTTAGTCTGGAAGCAGAAGAATTCAATAAGAGTCTACGATAGGATATTTAGATCAGCTTTATATGTTAAGATCTATTTTTTTCTGCTTGGAACTTAAGTAGGAAAATTTGAATAACAAATTTGAATTGTTTGGTTTATTGGCACAGCTCTATCTTTAAATGCACTTCCAAATGTTTTATCACCTCACTGTCTGTTTCTGTGCATGTTAACATTTTAAAATGTATTTTGATAGTTTTCTAATTCATTGATACTACATGCTATATTGGCTTGTGCCCATCATAAAAAAAAAAACAAACAGATTTGTACTTTTAATTGATTTTCTTTAATCAAACTTACAAAAAATCTCCGATTTTTTTATTTGAAAGTATATGCTTAGGCTATGGTTGAAATTATTTATTTTTTATATTCATATAGTTCCTACTCTATGTAATTTTTCTCTTTTCAGATATTGATGATGCTCAAATACTTCCCCGCTCATCTAGAGTCAGACATTTTTCACAGAGTGAAGACACTGGAAATGAAGTTTTTGGTGCCTTGCATGAGGAACAGCCATTGCCTCGAAGCAGCAGCACTTCTGACATCTTGGAACCATTCACTGTTGAACGAGCCAAAGGTGCAGTTCCTGTCACTGACAGTTCATCCCGTCATGCACCAAGCTTGCAGAGTTCCACAGAGGCTTCTTCAATAACTAGATCCACTGAAAGCCACATCACTGATACTCATAGTAGAGAGTCTTCTCTGGAAGTTGGTGATAGCATATATGACCATCTTTGTCATTTAATAGGTCCAATAGAGCTTGCAGATTCAGCTTTTGAACAAATCCAGTACATTGACCTTGAAGGAGATGATGATCTTCTTTCTTCCCTGAAAGAATACTTTAAGGAAAACCAGGAAAATCATAGTAAAAATGAGATAGGTAAAGATTCAGCTTCTCAGGAAGTGATTATTTCAGTAACTAGGGATGAAAGATCATCCTTAGATAAATTAGAATACATGGATCAGGAAATAAAATCAGAAAATCTCATGTCTTTTGTTGGGACTCCTGAAAACATACAGTTTCAAAAAGAGCCAAATTCATCTGTCTTCATCAATAATATTGATCCTAACCAGTCAGGTACTTTTATAAGAGCACAAACTGCTGAAAAATCTAAGCAACTAAATACTGATAAACAGTCATCGGATTCTAGTTCAGATAGCCCCTGTGATAAAGAAAAAAAGAAATATCTGTATAGACAAACAGCCACAGAATTAGATGGCTGTGTAGATGCAACACTAGTTGAAAAGCTTAAGGATATGCAAATTAATGAAAAAATCATTGTCCCACATGTAATGCATGCTAAGAAAACTACACTAAAACCACCAGTTAACCGCAGAATGCCTCATGTTTCAAACAATAGCAAGGTTTCTCCAACTAAAAGGAGCTTGTCTGAAACAGTAACCCATAGAGCCAAAATCATGAAAATTGCTACTAAGAAACGAAATAGTGTTCATGTTACTTTTAGACCATCTACTGAGTCTGTTCAGTTTTACAATCCTCTGGAAAACAAAGAGGCTCCATGGAAGATGAGACTACGGAAGCTCAGTGGCTTTAGTAGTAATAGCAATAGCAGCACTAGCCTCACACATACCAGCTCTGCTAGTGGTCCAGAGCTTGTAAGACCTGGTGTGTATAGGCCTTTAGATACTATTAGTGCAGCATCAGTTAGTAGCAAAACAGTGAAAGAATCCACAGAGATTCCCACCACCATACTGCAAAAAGAAGGAATTGCAAGTAATCAGTTAGGTAGTCGCAGTACAGTTAGGTCATCAAATCAGGAGGCAGGACTACAGCAGGGCTCCCTGGGTGGCGTTTATAAAACTGTTGTACATGCTCTTTCGAAGCCGAAGGCAAATGTTTCCCCACAGAGGCAGAACAGAATGCCACCAGAGGCTCCACTGAGGGATCTGTACAGTCATGTAATGGGCTATTTTGGAAGGAAAGCTGCAGGTGAGCACTAACAGTGTGCAGAGCGCAAAAGGAGAAAGACAGCACCAGTTTGGCTTAATGCAACTGAAGCAAGCTATAAGCAATCAAAAAGCTTTGGGATGGTCACTGCTTTTTCTCTGTTTGGTTATGCATGCGCCTTTCCCCAGCTGTTTTTTTCCCAGCATAAAACGTTTATTTAAATCACTAATTTCCCTTATAAAGCATTTAGTTAAACCTCTTTGCTGCTGAACAATAAGATAAGAAAGAAGATACAGGAAAAATTTAACAACCTTTCAAAAGCTACCTAAATCAGATATTTTTTTCAGAGTATACCACATTAGTCTTGAAGTTAAGTTTACTGAGGAGTTACTATACTGTCTCTCTTGCCCCATTATAGTTTATATTTTAAAGGGCAGTAGCTGTATTTAATTGAATTCACTTATTTTTACTGCTGACTTGTTTGGTTTTACATTTTTTCTTGGTAGAAAATTACTTTGATATCTAACATAATAGAATTCAAGGTCTTAGAACCAGCATCATGGAAGAAGAAATTATTTCTTAAATCTCAAAGCAGATTTAGTGATGTTTCACTTGAACCTTTTCCAAAAACGGTATAGGCTTTTAGTTTTGCATTCATTTGTATAGAATGCAAGTTATGTCCTTCAAACACTTATCATTGCTTTCTTTTGTTCCTGAGATTTTAAATGTGTAAAGGTTTCATGAACAGATTACAGAAAGAAAGCAAGATTATGGTAACTGTTTATCTTGACTCAAAGTTAAAATAACTTTACAGATATAGAAAATTAACTTTCAGCAGTAAGGTAGGTTTTGATTTTATTTGTTTTAACATGGTTTTGTTAGCATGATTAACCAATGCTGTATGATACATCTTGCATTGTGCCATTAATGCCACCCGAGGGCAGTATTTGATAGCTTAGCAAAGCCTGGCCAGTAGTATAAAGATAATGGTTTTTCATAATAAACTCCTGACCAGTATATTTTCTTAACCTGAAATGCTTTATAGTTCATTAGGAATGTAAAACAATGCTGATTTCTTTACAGAAAGAAATCAGCTTTTCAACAGCATAGTAGTGACATACATAAACAACATCTTATAAATTCTAAGTCATTTCCCAAGTTAAAATATTCTTATTAATGTAAATCACAATGTAGCCACCAAAAAAATCAAAATAACTATTTTGGTTGGTTTTTTTTTTAAAAAAAAAAAAAAACAAACCTTTGTGAAAACAAGCCTCTCTAAAATTAGACTTTATAATGGATAGAAACAACAGTATATTAAGATCATAGAATTTTTACTTATAAATATCCAAACTTCATACATTTGTGTCTCACTGAGATTTGCATAGAAAGGATATATTCCTTGTACATATTCTTTGGAAAAAGGGAATTATGAATTATTAAGATTCTAAATAGAAGCACACAGGCAGGAAGAAAGAGAAATATACCGGTTTCTTTATAGGCAATATTAACCTGACTTCAAATAGTGCTTATCTATAAGCTTTCTCGCTATTTAAGGTTGTACTGGAGATTGACTAACATCTGCTTAGTTAAATAAAGTAAATATCAATTTACTAATTCTTAAAATTAAATCTTAAGAGGAGGGAAATTATTCATAAATGCATGTTTGGCAAATAATTGATATGGCATAGGTACTTTGGGTTATATTTGTTTCAAATTTAGAAAATGTATTTAAGTTGTTCCTCACTATATGTAGCTGTTTATTTACTTATAGTCAATAAAGAGGACATGAGCCCCAAACTGCCTCCTCTTAATAGTGATATTGGCAGCAGCAGTGCTAATGTTCCTGATCTGATGGATGAGTTTATAGCAGAACGACTTCGAAGTGGTAATGCCTCAGTAAGTTTATTTTATTTTATTTATTTGGTTTTAGAGAGGAAGGTAGAGAATTTTTCAGTTTTTTTTTTTCACCTAAAGACATAAAACAAGCAGATTTGTAGTTTTCACCAAAGAAAGATTAGAGAATGTATTTGCTCAAGTATTTATAAGTCACTCTCCACTTTTTTTCATCTTTCTGCATAGGTTACCTTGGTGTCAGCGGCCAGCCCTCAGTAGGAATGATAACAATGGAATTACATGGCCCAGCTCCCACAGTTTTGATAGCATAACTATTGCTTAATCATTCCAGATATCTTTGGAACAGATTTTAAAATTATTTTTATCTTGAATGTTAAATAAATAAAAGCTATTTTATCCCTAATAATATTTAATTGTTAGGGAAGGATAAATATATGAAATTGCTTTTTTAACAGGCGCATTCCACTTACCTTTCAAATTGTTCCATGATTATTGCTTTTCTTAGTGGTTCTTTTTTTTTTTTTTTCTTGAGTGGGTAAAAATCATGGTAGAATCATTATAGAATGACATCTTTGCCATCATTCTTCCTTCTCTCACTATTTCTACTGTTTGCTTCTTTTTCCACTTATGTACTTTGCTTTTTCTATTGTTTAATTTACATTCAGTACATGAATCCTACTGAGAGTTAAAAGCTCAGGTCCAGCACCAACTGATATTTGGGTCTTTGTTTTAATCAGACCAACAATAAATAGTTTAGGAACTGGATCCATAATGTTACATCTTCCATAGATTGTTCAGTGAGTGTGTTTCTCTTCTCCCCTGAAGCCCTAAATTTCAGAATTTATGGCAGTGGTTATCTTGGAAATTAAAGGTTTTAGATGCTTAATGTGAATAATTCTTTAAAATTTTTTTAAATGGTAAAATATTTTTTTTAATTTTTAGACTATGACAAGAAGAGGAAGTAGTCCAGGCAGCCTTGAAATTCCCAAAGACCTCCCTGATATTCTAAATAAGCAAAATCAGATGCGCCCTATTGATGACCCAGGTGTACCCTCAGAATGGACTTCTCCTGCCAGTGCAGGGAGCAGCGATCTTATCAGCTCAGACAGTCATTCGGATTCTTTCAGTGCTTTCCAATATGATGGCCGGAAATTTGACAGTTAGTATCTTTTACTATTTGAATAGTATGTTTTGTATTGATTTGTTTTGGTTTGATACCAACTTATGGATTATATAGCCATCATTATCTTTTGATTCCACTTTTCAGTTAAATTACAAAGCAAGTTTTAGGAAGTCACCTTAGGTTTAGGATTTTCTAAATTGAAACTACTTTAGTTTGCCAAACTAAGGGCATATGTAAAACCAAAAATACTGCCCTTCATAAAACAAATTATATTTCTAAGACTAAAAACATAAAAAGGAAAATAATTTAGGATGGAGTTGATAATAGTCATGGCTATTAGTTGCCATTATTTTGTGCACCCATACCTGGCATCCATTGACCAGTTATGTTCAGTGCTATAGCACCCAGATTCCTTGAATAATTCCTGTATGTTAAAAATAACATCAGTGTTATTACTTGGTACTGTCTTACTATCATATAGTTATCCTGCTGAAATTTTGTTACACTTAGTGATTGGGGAAGGGCACCTGAACAAAAAAGGAAAAAGTAAAACCCTTGGGGATCAAGTGTGTGAAGAGCTGAGAGATGAATTGAAAAATTATGTTTCCTTTCCTCATAGATTTATTGCATACTACTGTGATCGCAGATAGATAGGATTTAAGAGAAAGATGATGCTTTACTATATATGTGTGTGTGTCATTTTGTATATTTTTGCACTAGAGATTATAAAATATTTGAAAAGCACTATGTTACCAGCTATCAGGAAACATGGATAAGAATAGTGATAATATATCATATGTCTCTCTTTTATGATGATTGTTGTTGATAGTAAGCTATGAGAAGTATTTTTTTAAAATCATGTTCCTAATTATTGTCTTCAAAATGTTGTCATTACTTACACTTGCTAGAGTAGTATGTAAATAGGGTAGAGTTAGCAGAAACATTGATGTTTGATCATTTTGCTGATCTAACAAAATCTCTTTGGGAAATATTTTTGTTTTATAGCTAATGCACTACACTTCTTTCTATAGACTTTGGCTTTGGAGTTGACCCTGGAATTGCATCCTCTGCTGACGTGGATTCAGGTTCTGGCCATCATCAGAGCACTGAGGAGCAGGAAGTGGCTAGTCTAACCACACTCCATATAGATTCTGAAACAAGCAGTCTTAATCAACAGGCTTTCTCTGCTGAAGTTGCAACAGTTACTGGTAAAGTTACTTAAGAGAATGTGTTCCATAAATATGGTTTTTAAACCTCTAAAAGATCTAGTTATAAATTTGTCTGAAAGATTTTAAGTATTACTTATTACTATTCAAGTAGTTTTTTTTTTCCATTCATCTTTATATAACATTGGAGGGGAAAGACATTGAAATAGTTTTCTTGCCATGAAGTTTGTAGATAACCTGCACTAAAGCATTTTGTACAGTTATTTTAAAATAGATAACCTGACAGAAGTGTTAAAGTACTACACTATCTTCTATTGTCATTCCAAGTTAGACTAGAGTCTAACAGTCTGCCTCGTCTTCTCCCACAAGATAAAAACATTAACATGCCCCATTGTGGAATAAGGCCTGAGGGAAGAGAGTAAACAGTTGGGTTAGAGCCACAGATTATCATAACAGGATTTAAATTACTCAAAGACAACAAGAAAATTCTTGTTTTATAATAAATACCTCTCACTGTCATCATCCTTAAAAATAAATATAGGCTGGGTGCTGGTGGCTCACACCTGTAATCCTAGCTACTTGGGAGGCTGAGATCAGGAGGATCACAGTTCAAGGCCAGCCCAGGGAAATAGTTTGTGGGACTCCATCTCAAAAATCACCAGAACAAAATGTACTAGAGATGTGGCTCAAGTAGTAGAGCACCTGCTTTGCAAGCTCCTGCTATTCAGGCATGAAGCCCTGAGTTCAAATCCCAGTCTCACCCTTCCCCCGCAAAAAAAGGTAAGATAAATACACTGAGCATTCCTAGTAACCAGGAAGCCACTCCACCAGCCCTTTTTTGTGATGGGCTTTTTTGAGATAGTATCTCATGAACTATTTGCCTAGAGCTGGCTTTAAACCATGATCCTTCTGACCTCTGCCTCCTGAGTAGCTAGGATTATAGCTATGAGTGAGCCACAGCTGCCTGGCTATATCACTATTCTTAATAGAATCTGTAGTCTACTAAGTGGAATTTAAAACTAAGTAGTCAATTCAAGTCAGTGTAATAAGTGTATAGCATGGAGTTGCAAGGTTCAATCAAACCATATCGCGGAGACTTTATATTCACATTTGCAGGGTCAGGAGTAGGCTTCTCAGGAGAGTTTCTAAGCTGAAAGTTGAAAAGTTAATTAGATTAAACAAAGATTAGGACTCCATGCAAAGAAAAAAGTATGTGGAAAAGACCCAAAGTATGATACATACTAATAAGTATAAGTGGTTTACCTTCTGTGACTAAAACACAAAAGTCTTGGTGGATTGTGAAGAGATAAGAAAACTGCAGGGAAAGTTGAAAGCAAAAGTAAGAATTTGGGGCTTATGCTGATTCCAGTATGGAGCCTTAGAGGCTTTTAAATAAGGAAGGGATGTGATCAGATTAGATTTTTAGATATTTTTGCTGTCTCCTGGAGAATGGATTGGGAGGAAGGAGTAGGGATGACTGGAGGCTGGGACCACTATAAACCAAGCTAGCAGTAGTCAATGATAGTGCCATGTAGCACAGCAGCGCCTTCACTTTTGGATTCTGCCAAGTCTGAAGAAAGAGAAACAGTAGTAATGGGTGTCAGAATTTCTGCAGCTGGGCCAAGAATGAGACAGACATTCTCACCATCACTAAGGGCTCCTGTTAACCTGCTACATTCATTTTTGAGTCCATGTTAGTCTTATGGTGGACATAAGATCAGAATCCTGGATACAAAACCTTGTACTTATGATTTTATTAACATGCTTGACTAACTTAGAACACATTTTATCTTTTAGTGTTTTAAATTTATATTTTATTGGGTCTCAAATATTTTATTGGTCTGAGGTAGGGTATTGAATATGTTCTTCATGTAATTTTATAAAATTATATTTACAGGTTCAGAAAGTGCTTCACCAGTCCATTCAGCTCTGGGATCCAGGTCACAGACACCTTCTCCTTCCACATTGAATATGGATCCCATGGAGCAGAAGGATCTGCAGCTCGATGAGAAGCTTCACCACTCTGTTCTTCAGACACCAGATGACCTAGGCAATATTTGGAAATTACATATTTGCCATTTTTCCTTTCAGGGTATTAGTGTCAGGAGATCTTCAATAAGTCATCTTAAACTTGATTATGAATGACTGCATACATAATCTTTTCCAAGTCTTTTTTTTTTCCTTTCTTGTTTGTTAGTCAGGTGCTCTACCACTTTCAACATACCCCCAAGGCCTTTTCTTTTTTGCTTTAGTTATTTTTCAGATAGGGTCTCAAGTTTTTGTTCAGGCTGGCCTTGAACTTAAATCTTCTTGATCTTTGTCTTTGGAGTAGCTATGATTACAGATGTGTACAGTCATGCTCAACCTTTTATAAGTCTTTTGGAAATGTCTTCCTCTGTCATTTTTTTCTTGCTCTTAAAGAGAACAGTTTATTCCAGGTACACAGGAGGCAGAGGCAGGAAGATCAAGAGTTGGAGGCCAGCTGGGGCAAAGTTAGATAAACCCTATCTCAAAATCAAAAGTGGTGGGGACATGATAAAATGGTAGAGTGCCAGTGTGAGGCACTGGGTTCCATCCCCAGTACTGCAAACAAAAAAAAGAAAAAGGAAAAGAACGAAGAAGCTGTTTATAAAATTGTTCTGATTTTTTTGATTCATTTTATCATTGTAAGACTAAACATCTTAGAATTACTGATTGCATTATTTTTGTGTTGTATTACCATTTATTGATGTGATATGCTAGTTCCTAAAAGAGAAAATACATAATTTGGTATTGTTATTCTTAATATTGTACTTGAAGATCCTGCTGACTCACAGGAGAAAGTAATAGCATTATCTCTTGTTAATCAGACTTTCAGACTCAGTGAAACAACTTACTGAACCAATAATTTAAAAAATTTTTATGCAGATTAGGCAAGTACTGTACCACTGAGGAATATTCCTGACCCTTCTTAAAAATTTTTTTTTTATTGTTGGCAGTACTGGGATTTGAACTCAGGGCTTCATGGTTGCTAGACAGGCACTCTACTGCTTGAGCCAGGTCTCCAGCTCTAAAATGGATTTTTGATTTTGCAAATGTATCAGTTAAATTTAACAAGTAGGCAGGCCAGGGCTGGGCATGGTAACTCAATTCTGTAATCCCAGCTACATGGGAGGCAGAAATCAGGGGAATTCTGTTTTGAAGTCAGTGTGGGCAAGAAAGTTAGCAAGACCCCATTCAGCAAGTAAACCAGACATGTAGGTGTTCGTCTGTAATCCAGGGTATGCAGGAGGCCCCCAGGGCAAAAATGTGAGCCCGTATCTGAAAAACAAAAAAATAACTAAAGCAAAAAAGGGCTGGTGGAGTGGCTCAAATGTTAGAGCACCTGCCTAGCAAGTGTCAGGCCTTGAGCCTAAAACCCTAGTGCCAGGAAAAAAAAAAAACAAAAAACAAAACAGGCAGCCAGTCCAAATATTATTTAACTATTCATTATTACTTTTTTTTTTAATTGATACTGGGGATTAAACTCAAGACCTTGTGTTTGCTGGGCAAGTGGTCTACTACTTGAGTTATGCCCCCAGTTCTTTTGTTTGCAACAATGCTTCTTACTTTTGCCCTATTCAGCCTCTGAACCTCAGCCTTTCTACCTCCACCCCCCTAAGTACTTGGGATTGCAGAAGTATTTATTTTTAAGTAAATGTTAAAAGTGACTCAGGAAACCTCAGAAACTTCAAGTTTTAAAAAAAGAAAAAAAAAGTTAATTTTGTTATATCCTACCCAGTGTAACAAGAAGCCAATAGTCACTTTGCAAATATGCCAAAAACTTTGGTCAAAGATATAATTGATAATATATTTATAATGAATAATATAAAAAGTCAGGTTTGTTTTTTGACAGTGTCAGGGTTTTAATTCTGGGCCACAGGCTTGCCACACAGGTGGTCTACCACTTGAGCCATGCACCTAGCTCTTTTTTGCTTTGGTTATTTTTCAGGTAGGGTCTCACATCTTTGCCAGAGGCCAGCCTCAGACTTCAGTCCTCCTACCTATAGCCTCCCAAGTAGCTAATATCATAGATGTTTTCACCACTCTTGGATTATTGATTGAGATGGGATCTTGCTAACTTTTTTGCCCAAACTGACCTCAAACCACAATCCTCCCAATCTCTCCTCCTAAGTACCTAGGGTTGCAAGCATGAGCCACCATGCCTTGCATGTTTTTTCTTAATGTAGCATGTTTATTCTCTGACCAAAGGAAGAAATTTAAAGCCATAGAATTTCTATACTTTATTAAGAGGCTCATTCCTTAATGTGCAATTACCTTGCAGTTACATAGCCCTTATTTTCTGGTTTGTAGATTACTTGTGATGTTTTCTTTTTCTCATTTTGACCTTCAAGTTTTTGTTTGTTTTTTATTTTCCCCCCAGTCATTTGGCTTTAAAAAAAAAAAAAAAGTCAATTCAAAGGCTAATAAATTGAATACCCATAAATCTACATAAATTTACCAGTTGTTAATATTTTGTCAGTTTACATGTATCTATACATATGCACATATTTATACAAAAAACCATACCCCTGTCTTTTCTGAGCTACAAAAAGGGATTCGCAAATATCAGACCCTTGACACCTAATACTGCTGTAGGTATGTCCTAAGAAGAACTATACCTTTCCTGAATAACCACATTGTAGTGGCCTCATTCACAATATCTAATATCAATTACATTATAGTTATTTTAGTCCATAGTCAAATTTCAGTTGTCTCAATAATGTCCTTTTATAGCTTCCCAACACCAACAACTCAATCCAGAATTTAATCAAACACCACATATTGTTGTTTGTGTTTTACTCTTTTAAAATTTCATTAGCTTTACTTTGAGAGGGATAAGTTAGAGACTAATTGATTCATCTCTATATTACACAGTTGCTATCGAATAGGATGACATTTTACAACATCATTGTCTTTCCCTTTTCTTTTGTTTTAGTTGCTTTATATCAAAAGCCTATTTTTTACTATGAAGAAAAATTAATTATTTAGTACCTTTTTAATGATATAGTCAGTAATTATATACTTTAATTGCAAAGAGAAAAAATTTAAGCATTATAAATATAGGATGTACATATGGTAAAAATGAGCTTATTATAAATTTTCAGTTCTTGGGATAGTATCAAACATTTGCAGTCATAAGCTTGTAATTCTTTCAGTCTATAAAGCGTTTAGTTCCCAAGGCTCTTTTACAGGAATGTCTTCATTCATTTTTTAATGATTTTCTGTGCTTTGAATAAAGTACTAGGTTATATACATTGGATAAAGTAATGAACCTTTTAAGCTGAAGGAAGATACATACTGTTTCTTATTTAAACCCTGTCCATTTTACACAGGAGAAAGTGTAACCTTAGTGAGGTTATTAAATAACTTACTTAATGAATAATTAGTAGCAGAAATGAAATAAGGACTATGGGTACTTATATTTATTATTTATAATTTTGTCATTATTAATAGGTAAAAGAAATATAATTGCACTAATATTTATTTTGTGTTTAAATTTTACTAAAAATGTCTTTTCCATGCCATTGTGATATCTCTACTAAGGATAAGTCTGGCTTAGCTGTAAAATGTATATTTCTTTGTAAAGTTTAACTACAAATAGGCTTGTGAAGACTTCTTGCAGGAATTGCTTTCAGCCCGAGAGTTTCTATTTGATAATATAATCTGAAGTAACTATTAAATAAGAGTATATGTATATACAATTGATATCTATATCAAACATAAATTTTTCCATCTGGTGTCTTCTCTGGTATCTGGGTGGTAGGTGCATAATTTCCTCCTTAAATTAATCAATCTAAGCACTTTTAGATAATTATTGTTATAATAGGAATTATGAACTAGTAAGATATTGTCCTCAGAAAAAATAAAATTTATGTACTTTCACATTTCTTTAATTCACTTTTATAGAAAATTGATTATTAATTTCAGTTGGCTCTTTTGAGTATTATGGTCATTTTTCTAGAAAAGTATTAACACTATTGTATTATTTTTTTTCTATAGAAATCAGTGAATTTCCATCTGAATGTTGTAGCGTGATGGCAGGGGGTACTCTCACTGGATGGCATGCAGATGTGGCTACTGTTATGTGGCGAAGAATGCTAGGCATTTTGGGAGATGTCAATGCTATTATGGATCCTGAAATACATGCTCAAGTTTTTGATTACCTGTGTGAACTTTGGCAGAATCTAGCCAAGGTAAAAAAAAAAGAAAGAAAAAGAAAATAGAGTCTATAACAGGAAAAGGAAAGAAAAATAAAGTATTGAGAAATAGAGGAAGCTAGGCCTGGTGGTTCTTGCCTATAATTCTAGTACTCCAGAGGCTGAGGCAGGAGGATCTCTAGTTCAAAGCTATCCTGGGCTGTGTAGCAAGTTGAAGCCTACATCTGCTACACAAAACAGACTTGGCTGAAAGACAGACTGTCTCAGAAACAGTAACAACAACAGAAAAGAAACAAAAGAGAAAAACATTGTCACACCCCACCCTTTACTATAGATAAAACTGATACCCAGCATGGTAAAGTCACTTACCACAGTCTAAATAGTTAGTGGTAGATACTGGATTTGACTTCAGTTTCAGGTAAAGCAAGCCAGAAGAGAAAATCATTTTCATAGGTGTATTACGCTTTTATTTGAAAATTGCAGATCAGAGATAATCTTGGCATTTCAACTGATAACCTGACCTCTCCTTCTCCACCTGTTTTGATTCCTCCACTAAGAATTCTTACACCTTGGCTTTTTAAGGTAAGCTTAATATATAAAACATTAGTCTTAAATATTGGATAGAAAATGCAGGTATTATGTTGTCTTCTAAAGCACTTAGTTTTTAACCACTATCTTTAGGAAGTCATAATAGAGAGGAGAGTAGGCAAGGCAAAATTATCATACAGGGTACATAATTTTGGTTGATTTAATAAATCAAAAGTGAATATAGAAAAGTCTGTCTCTTTAATTTTTTGTTTTCCCTTTTTTGTGGTGTTGAGGCCTTGGACATGCCAGGCCAGTGCTCTACCACTGAGCTATACCCCCATCTCTAGAAAAGTATGTCTTCGTTGTATTTAAATGAAAAATAAATCTCAAGTTGCATCACAGAATATGCTACGTACTTTTAGAGATTTAATTCTCTTTTAAGTATTGTTTGATGTTTAGTGTATTTTCCTAAGTGAAAACGGTTTGTGAGGTATTCATACCTACATCTGCATTGCATCATTCTCAATAAATATAGTTTTAGTAGTACTGACTTGTTCATTGAAGGAATTAGACTAACATAGTCTTAAATGAAAAGAACATAGTGTTTGCTAAAAGGTTTAACAAATGTTTGAGTATTAAAACTTATCTTTTAATTTTAGGCAACTATGTTGACTGATAAATATAAACAAGGTAAATTACATGCTTATAAACTTATTTGTAATACAATGAAAAGAAGACAAGATGTATCTCCAAATAGAGATTTTTTAACACATTTCTATAATATAATGCATTGTGGATTACTTCATATTGATCAGGTATGTGTCTTCTAAAAAGTTGTTTTGTCATTTGATTCTTGATTCTCTTTAACTCTTGCTTTTTAAGATCTAGAATTAAAATTATCCCTTCTGTGTAGTGGTTTATATATATTTTACTTCCATTTTACAAACTTAGCTGTTCTTGAAACATGATTGAAAACCAGCTGTTTGTCGTAGAGGATCAATTTGAGTGTTCCTCCTATTTTAATATTACACCAACAGTTCACATTTTGAAGAATTTAAACCTCTTTTGCTTAGTTTGATAATACCTTCTATAATGTCCCAATGTATTTTATAATTGAAAACTCGATAGTTGGTACTTGAAGCAGATGAATTTCCTCATTATTATGCAGTAGGGTTTTTTGACTACTCATGTTTTCTTATTACCATCCATTAAATTAGCCTAGAGACAATTATATCTATTTGGCAGTTGTGTAATTTACAGTCACTAAATAATCATAAATATGTCTCTAAAACATTATTTCAGGGATCTTGATTTTGGCCATAAGACTAAAATGTATTGAAGATTGCAAGTCAAAGTAATATAGTATTTTTATCATAGTGTGGCTAAACTTGTAGTAGATTTAGAGAAGACTAAATTATTAGTAAAAGATGACAATTGTATTATGTGGACAATGAAAAACTTCTTGCATTAATTTAAAATAATTTCAGTGTACATAATTTAAAATAAAATATAATGTAAATTGTATGTAAACATGTCTCAAATAAAATGACACTCAATTTCTATAAATATAGAGCTTTTGTTTCAGATAAGTCAAATTGAGCAATATATCTAAACAGAGTGAATGAATAATCAGGTTAAGAATATTCCCGTAAAGGTGCCCAAGTCTAAGACTGGGTGGGCGTGGTGTTGCATACCTGTAAGCCCACTCAGGAGGCAGAGGCAGGAGTTTGGAGAGTTCATGGCCACCTGGGCTACATAGAGAGACACTGTCTCAAAAAAAGAAAAATGCCAATGTAGTGGCACTTGCCTATAAACTCAGCTACTTGGGAGGCAGCGATAGAGGGATCATGGCCTGAAGCCAGCCTAGATTAAAGCTTGAGAACCCATCTGAAAAACAACACAGCAAAAGGACTGGGAGTGTAGTTCAAGTAGTAGAGGTGCTTTCAAGGCCTTGATTTCCATTCTGAGTACTACCTACCCCCTCAACAAAAAGAGCCTAGGTCTAGATTTCTGGGGCTTGCTAGCTAGCACAAGACCCTGAGTTCAAATTCCAGTACCACTAAAAACAAGAACTTCAATTTATGTGAAAAATTATCTCTCTCCAGTTCACACATAGCAGGTCATGTGGGTTCAGAGATGTTAGTTATCATATAGAAACAGCAGCTAGGTGGCCAGAAAGACTCCTTTCTAATTCAGTTTTACAACATGTGAGCCTACTATTTGTAACCCTATGAAGCAGAGCCAACTTTGCTATCTGGTGCAGAAAAAAAAAAAAACGCTATTAATGTCAGTTAAACAAATGTGTTGTAGGTTTACTTTCCTTTAATATAGTACTAAGCATGGATTACTCTGGAGAATTAAAATTAGTCTCTCCAGTTAGTCAGCCAGTATACAGTTATCACTTTTGTTAAATTTCACATATTATCTATTTTTAAAGATATTGATTAGCTGATACCCACAATTACATATGTGATACTCTTTTTTTCTTCTCTCCTTACTCTAAGGACATTGTCAATACGATCATCAAGCACTGCTCACCTCAGTTTTTCTCACTTGGTTTGCCTGGTGCCACAATGCTTATTATGGATTTTCTTATAGCAGCTGGTAGAGTGGCTTCTTCAGCTTTTCTCAATGTAAGTTTTATTTGTAGTTCTTTTAATATAGCCATCTTTAGTTGACCAAGACTCAGCCAACAAAGCAATAAAGGGAGAACTATTATTGGTGATAAAATATAACAAATTAATATTCAGGAAAGTTTATAGTTTAGTTAGTATTGGTTGCTTCTCTTACATTAAGGAAAGAGGAAACAAGAATTTCTGAAGTGTAAGAAATCACTAGACTTAATTGGCAAATTAACTTGAGAGCTCTAAAAATGGATTACATGTGATAATCAAAACAGTATTTAAAGTTGTATAAATCTAAGGAATTGTGGGAAAAAAGGGTGCTAGCAAAAGAGTAAAAAACATTGACGAGCAGTCATTACACATTATTATGCATATATATCATGTCGTGTTGTTCACCTTGAATATGTTCTGTCTCTGACAATTAAATATTTTTAGTAGAAAAAAGCAGCAGTGATGGAATAACCCAGAAATATGCCATAGACAAAGCCCTAAAAGTGCATGTGAGGAATTTTTCATATAATCCTGGAGCTATGAGACAGTGCCATGTACACCAGTGTAGCTGGAGTATGTTCATATGTAAGTGACAGAAATGAGCTAGAGAAGGAAGGAGCAGCTGTCTATTCAGTGCTGAAAAGGTTAAACCTTATTCTAAGGTAGGGTTAAGTAGTCACTGAGGGACTTTAAGCAAGAAGTGAAATGATCAACTTTGTATTTTGGAAAGATCACTCAAGCAAAGTATAAATGAGAAGAATTAATTGAAAATCTACTAGAAAAAACTAAGAGTTATATGAAAGAGAAAAATACTTGTCTATCACTTTAAAACTTGCACAGCAGTTTAATGTAGATTATTTCCTTTGTAAGCTGCAAAAGATCAGCAGTGCATGAGGAGTTCTATTTGTGGCATGTAAGATTTGTATTATTCATCCATGAGATGTCAGGAGAAAAATTGCATATACAAGGTCAGGAGCTCAAAGAAAATATAGGGACTGACACTTATAAAACTAGGAGACATTCATGTTTTAGTTGGTAGTTAAAGCCCTGAAACTGGATGCAATCATCTAGAGGCAATGTGCAAATAAGGAAGAGAAGAATCCAGGGCTGAGCACTGTAGTTCATGCCTGTAATCCCAGCCACTCAGGAGGTGGAGAGCTGGAGGATCGTGATCTGAGGACAACCTGGGCAAAAAGTTAGCAAGACCCTCATCTCAACCAATAAATTGGTCATGGGGGCACACTCCTGTAACCCCAACTACACAGGAGGCATAGTTAGGAAGATTGTAGTTTGAGGCTGGCCCCAGGCAAAAACTTGAGACCCTATCTGAAAAATAACTAAAGCAAAAAAGAGCTGGGGTCATGGCTCAAGTGGTAAAGTACTTATCTAGCAAGTACAATGCCCTAAGTTCAACCCCAGTCGAGAGAGAGAGAGAGAGAACTGTATTTTTAGTTAGTTATATAATCCCTTTTCTCTTTTATTGGTTGAATTTGTAAGAATTAATTCAGCATCTAGTACATGCTTAACATTGTGCTGAGCTGTTTTGTGGTTATTAAGCTTTTCCCCCAGTGTACAAAGTAATCTTATATCGTCTGATATTCTATTATTTCTATAATAAATATCTGAGGCAGGGTAACTTATAAAGAAAAAAAATTTATTTAGTTCACAGTTTTGGAGGTTATAGAATAGCTCTGACTCTGACAGAGGCCCCTATCTGTATCACACCAGGATGTGTGACATCATGGTGGAAATGTGTACAAAAGAGAGATCACTTGGCTAGGGAGGTGTTTGTAACAACTCCACTTGTGAGAGCTAACTAAGGGTTCCCTAAGAGCTACATTAATGTAGCTTCCAGTGGTGTGCCCCCAGTGACCTAATTACCTTCCACTAGGCCCCACCTCTTAAAGGTCCTGGAACCTTTCAGTATTGCCATGCCAGGAACCAGGCTTCTAACACATGAACCTTTGGAGGGCAAACCACATCCAAACCATAGCAGGTTTTTGAGGTAAAATACAGAGGGATGTAGAGTGAATTAGATATGCTTTGTGATCAAGGAACATATATTCTGCTAGGGAGATAGGGTGGTATGTTAACAACTAGAATATAGGCATAGGTTCCAAGAGGAAGAGCATAAAATAGTGTTTTAGAACAAATCTGTCTGGGCTAAAGTCTGCATGACCTGGGCAGGTTACTTAGTTTCTCTGTGGCTCAGTTTCTTCATCTATTAAATAATCCTACAAGGATTATTTTTCATCTTTATTTTTTAAGGATAGGTTGCGTGGTTGGAGCATTATGGCATTATATGTGTAATGTAAGAGAGGTTTTTAATCAGCTTTATTTTTATAGGATAGCTTTTAAATTAGGATGTTAGTTTATCTTGCCGCTTTATATGCTGCCTTGTATCTGTTAAATAGATTGTTTTTAATCTGCAAAGGAGTTACATGCTTTTGCTTTTGTTTCGTCTTGGTTTTGTTTGAGATGGGGTCTCTCTATGAAGCTTAGGCTGCCCTCTAACTCATGATCCTCCTGCATCTGCCTCCTGAGTGCTGGGATTACGGATGTGTACAACCACACACAGCAAAAATGAGTTAAGTTTAAGATTTATTAACATGGGGAGATTTTTTTAGAGACTAGTTCTTGATTTATGTGTGTGAAAGTATTTATAGTAGATTAATGCTTAGCATTTTTATTAAATTGTTGTATAAATCAATTTGCAAATGTTTTAATAAATAAAACAGTGCATTAGTAGGTGAATATTGGTGTTTGTTCAGCATGAAAGAGGGCAAAAGAGGAAAAAAATGTTCATTGTTGATACTTCACAAATGACTTAATTCAGCCAAGGAAGAAAAGATGAAAAGTTACTTTCATCTAATGTTGATTTTAGTAAATAGTATAGACAGTGTTTTTCTTATCTGCATAATAACAAAAAAACCACTTAGCCTGATATCTGTTTCTTGAAGGTGTAATCTTCAAGAACAATTAGAACAATATGTAACAATATATAGTTGCATTTAAAATTATTAAGCTGAGCGTGGTGGTATGTGACTGTAATCCCAGCACTGGAGAAGCTGAAGCAGGATCACGAGTTTGAGACGAGCCTGGACTACAAACTGAACTACATGGCAAGACCCTGTCTCAGAAAAAATGAATATATAAATAAGATTGAAGTATTTATATAGTTTTCCTTTTATTTAGGGTAGCTTGTAGCTAAGTTATGTTATTATTTGTAGTAATTAACTGTGGCTAACTTCTGTTTATTAGCTTCTTTTGAAGTTTTGCTGTTTGTCCATTGTATTTGCTGAAAATAATAGTGTTTTATATAGAGATTATACATGGAAACCTAAATGTTTTTGTGGTCCCTTTCCTTTTTGAATTTTTTCATACTCTCATTTCCCTGTATAATGTACTTGGATAATAAAGTATTTTAATGGTAAATGACAACACAATTAAGCACATTTTAAAGACTTTTTAAAAATCTGATACATAGGCTCCAAGAGTGGAAGCACAAGTTCTTCTGGGATCTCTAGTTTGCTTTCCCAACTTGTATTGTGAACTGCCTGCTCTCCATCCCAACGTTCCTGATATTGCCATCTCTCAGTTTACAGATGTTAAGGTAAGAAATCAGGTGCTGGTGTTTAGCATTTAAGAAATTTTATAGCCATGAGGCATATGCAATAAAATATGTATTCTATCTTTTCTTACTGAAATCCATGCACTTATTAAAAAACATTAACCAGCCACAAAAGCTAAAATGTACATTGAGAACATAGCCTTTTTTATGTGTGTTTCAATTGCTTTGGAACCTTTTTCTCATTACTGAAGCTAGTATCTATCTTTTAGGACTGGTTTATTCACTCATTAAACTTTTTTTGAAAATCCTGTGAGCCAGATGCTCACTATACTGCTATGTAAGATGTCTAAGATTAAGATGGCAAATCAAACCTGCATGTTTGACTCTCTTTCCAAATTCCTCAGCATATTGTGTCAAACAAAGTAATGGAAATCTTTATTGCTGTGTCATTAAAGGACTTGACTAATAGGAACCAGTGACCCTGGTTATGCATAAGCCTTTTTATAAATTTCACCAGGTAGAAAACTGGTGAAAAGTTGTTTTTTGCCTCTGCAGAGGTCACTGTAGTAAACATAAAAAGCAGTCAGTGCCCAGAGTCCAGAAATATGCATGATAGTGAATAAATTCAATCACTAAGTCAAGACCTGTTTCTAACCAAATGCCCATGTATTATAAAATTCTTAGGGCTTGAGAAATTATTTCTGTCACAGTAATTGCCAAGTGCTCCCCTTGTTTAACCTGAATTAGTCCTCAGAATTAGAAGGGTTGAGAAAAAGACATTGGAGCTCCTTAGTAGTTGTACTGATAATTTTTTTTTAAAGTTGCTTTCTCTGAAGTTTTTAAACCCATTTTATATCTACAGTGTTGTACACACTCTTCATAGCATCCATATTTCTTTTTGGAATATTTATCATACTTGTAATTATTTGTTCAGTGCCTTATTTCTGCTTTAGACAGGTAAACACCATGAGCACTTACTGACTGCTGTATCCTTGTAGACCAGCACACTGTTTAGCATTTAGTATACACTCAGAAATCAAACAAATGACTTGACATATACTTATAATCATATGGGCCAATGAAAATTTACAATGACTCTTAATAAAAACAGTACAGATTTACCTTTGCTATTCAGGATGTAATATATTCATTTTATTTTCAGAATCTGAAGGCCAGGGATAGGTAATAATAGTTTAAATTTGCTTAGTCAGTTTTGAGTTAGTTTAGGGTTAGACTAGCCTACTATACACTATCTACATTTCAGAGTGGATTATTTGTTCTTTATTGGCTGTAATATAGTCAGTAATGTCTGAAGTGGTTTTTTTTTTAAAAAAGCATTTTTTGTGTGTGGAAACAAATCTCCAAAATCAGAGCCAATATTAATACTGATGAAGAAAACAAAAACCTAAGAAAGTTGTAACTGTTCTTAGAAGATAAATATTTAAGGAGAAAGTTATATACCATTGTTGTCATATTTTCACTGAAGCCAGTTCCCCAAGTACACTAAATTACAGCTACATGGAATATGCTACGGTATTTCACACTTACATGTTTTGAATATTTCCTTCTACCTAAATTGTTATTATGTAGTCCTCTTCCCCTCTTGCCTCTCTTAATCATCCCAAACACATACTGTCATTATCCTTGACCTTAGTTATCTGTCAAAATCATGCTTATCTAAGTCTTTGATGACTTCCCAGCTGAGCTAGTTGTTCATATAGAACATTGTACATATTGTCTTGTTTTTTCCTTCTTGGTTTTTGGCAGTTTACCCATTTTGTAGTTTTTAGCATAGTCACAGAATTGTGCAGCCATCATCACAGTTAGTATTAGGACATTTTCATTACCCCAAAGAAACCCCTGTACCCATTAGCAGTCATTCTCCTTTCTACCCTCCTTCAAGCTCCTGGCAACTAAAGTTTTATTTTCTGTCTCTATGGGATTGCCTGGATATTTCATATCACACAATCTTGTATTTTAACTATTTACAAATCTGCTTCCCTCCTTGGACTGTGAACATCTTAAGGATAAGTACAATGTCTTAATTATATTCTTACTTCCAGCATGTAACACAGGGCCTATTACCTAAATCACTCTTAAACTAATACAGTGGATATTTTGCAAGGATCTATTAATTACCAACCATTGGACAAGGTGCTAAGTTTATAAAAATAAGAAGAAGATCATTCTTTTTAAGGAGCTTATAGTCTGTGTGACCAATAACTGTTTTTTGAGTAAATGCATGATTTTTTAAATGAATGAACAAATTTTTAATCATCAAGTCTAATGTCATTCTTGTTGTTTTCAGCCACTGTACCATTTGACCTTGTTGATGTATCCAAACTTTTTATTTTTATTTTTTTAAAGGATGTTTTTGATTCCAATGAGAGGCAACAATTTGGGGATATAAAATAAGTAAAATCCAAAACTTATAAGTGTATTCAGAATTATTTTGAATCCCTAAGGTGACTGTAAATTGTTTTTAGAACATTCATTACTTAAAGTAATATGAATATCAATTTATGTCAACTACTGTCTAGGAACCCCAGCAATGCTGCACTCCCTGTCCTTTTTAAAAGTCTCTTTGTCTTTGACTTACTTAGTACATATCTGTCTTAATTTATTTTTTTGCCTAAGTATTTTGACTCCTTAATACATGAGTTTCCTTTTCTTTGTCTCGTTTAAATATTCTACCCTTGTATTCTCTATTTTCTCCTTGACTGTTTTATTCGTTTTTATATCTAGAGCATATTTCCAAGCTCACATATTACCATACTTTACAAATTATCAAGTAAGAAGTTGCCTTTTTTCTTTCAGTTTTATCGAAGTAAAATTGAAAAATAAAAATTATACACATTTAATGTGTACGTGATGTTTTGATATACTTTGTAGTAAACATTAAACTAAATAACATATTCATAGGTTCACATAGTTTCTTTTTTTGGTCAGGTAGTGAGAACAGCCAGTGTCTACTCTTTAGCAGATTGGAGGTATATGCCACAGCATTATTAGCCTATAGTTCTCTAGCAGATTTCAGGTGGATGCTACAGTATTGTTAGCCATTAGCTGTAGTCACCATGTGGACATAAATTTCTCTAGAATTTATTCATTCTGCATATCTGAGACTTATACACATCGACCAACATTTTGCCATCTTCCCCCATTTCCTAGCCCGTGGTAACCATCATTCTACTCCTTCAGAGAATTCAGCTTTTTAGATTCTACCTAGGAAACCATGTACTCTGACTTCTGTCACTGCCTGTTTCACTTTGGTTCATCCATGTTGTCACAAATGGCAAGATCTTTCTAATATTGAAAAATTTCTCACCGTAGCTCTGGCTGTGCATATACATGTGTGTGTGCATTTGTGTGTGTGGGTGTGTATAACACATTTTTGTCATCCATTAGTCTTTTCCTTATCTTAGCTATTGTGAATAATGCTACAGTGAACATGGAAGCACAGATATCTTGTCATTTTGTTTTGTTTTTGAGACAGGATTTTACTGTGTAGCCCAGGCTGCCTCAAACTCATGATTGATTGTCCTGCCACTTCCTCCCAAATGCTGGGATTACAGGTGTGCACCAATGAGCCCAGCTGTCAGATAGCTTTTTGACATACTGATTTCCTTTCTTTTTAATATATGCCTAGAAGTGGAATTGCTTTGGGTATAATGGACATTTTAACAATATTAATTCTTCTATGAACACAGGATACCTTCCCATTTGTGTTTTTTTTTCAGTTTCTTTCATCAGTGTTTTGTAGTTTTTAGTGTATAGGTCTTTCACCTCCTTGTTTAAACTTTTCTAAGTACTTAATTGCTGTTCTTAATGGGATTGTTCACTTAATTTATGTTTTGAATATTTCATGGTTAATGTATAGAACAATTGATTTTTATATATTGAGTTTGTATCCTACAACTCTATTAACTTTGTTTATTCTAACAGTTTTTTGGTGGAATCTTTAAGGTTTTCTATATATTAAATCATGCTGTCTGGAAACATACAATTTTTAATTCTTCCTTTCTAGAATGAATGCCTTTTTTTTGTTTTTCTACCAATGCTTTTTCTTTACCTATTGAAATAACTGTGATTTTTCTCCTTCATTCTGTAAAAATGGTGTGCCATATTTATTGATTTGCACATGTCAAAACATCCTTGTATCCCAGTAGTAAAACCTACTTGATTGTGGTATATGATCCTTTTAATGTCCTGCTCAATTCAGTTAGTATTTTGGTGGGATTTTTATATCTATATTTACCAGAGATTGACCTGTAATTTTTTAAAGTAGTACTCTTCTCTACTTTTGATATCAGGGTAGTACTGGTCTCATAAAATGAGTTTGGACGTATTCCCTCCTCTTCAGTTTTTTGGAGGAGTTTGAGAAGAATTGGTCTTGATTCTTTAACTGTTTGGTAGACTTCATCAGTGAAGCCATTTTCAAAGTTTTAAAAATGTTCAATGCTGGAGATGTGACTCAAGCAATAGAGCACCTGCCTATCAAGCACAAAGCCCTGAATTTTAAACCCCAGTAACTCCAAAAAAAACAAAAATAATCATAAGTAAAAAGATATTCATACTTTTTAGCTCTTGATTCTGCTTTAATTACCTGTCTTATAGTGAGCATTTATTGCTCTTCTAATCTGGAAAAAAGCTTATCTTGAACATAGACTTTAGGTTATAATTTTTATAAATTATGTTATTTATTTAGCTACTTTTGTGAATAATATTGGACTTTTTATTCAAAGTATACACATGAAACCGGGTGTGACAGTGCACTTCTATAATCCCTCAACTCAGGAAACTGAAGCAGTATTACTGCACTTTTGAGGCCAGCCTGGGTATATAGCAAGACCCTATCTCAAAAATAATAGCAAGAACAAAAAATTACCTACATGAGAATAAACCGTTTTATTTATCTGTTGTATCTCTAATGCCTGATAGTGCCTGGTCTGAGTGCCCACCTAATAAATGTATGGTAAACTAATGAATGAAATCTTAATCATTGCTATTAACTGTTTTCTCTTATTTTAGGAACTTATAATTAAAACTGTATTAAGCTCTGCAAGAGATGAGCCCTCCGGTCCTGCACGGTAGGTCAGATATTCTTAGACTTAACCCTTAACGTAACTATTCTGGCTTTAGAATCTTATTTTAAAAGTTGATTAAAATATTTGTAGTCCATATTGTTTCAGACACATAAAAGCCTTTCTGAGTTACAAATTTTAATTATTTGAATACTTTGAAATACAATAGTAGGTGTCCAATGAGTATTCATTAAACTGAATTAAAATATTTTCCTGTATAAGTAATGTCTAAGAAAATGGTATATTTTAATATTCACACATCTTTGTGATTTTTAATAGACTACAAGTAACAAAATTTTTACATTTTTCTTTTTTCTGTTTTGTGTGTGTGTGTGTGTGTGTGTGTGTGTGTGTGTGCTGAGAATCAAACCTAGGGCCTCATGCACGCTAAGCATACACTGTATCACTGAGCTACACCCCAACCCCCTTTTTATGTCTTAAGCATTGAAAACTGACATTTTGTATTTTGCTAAATAAATTTTTCCCAAAAAAAGATTGAGATTTAATTTAGCAGGTTGCCAAAAGCACACCATATTTCTTCTCTTTGCCAAAACATCATTTAATTATATTTTATATTTCTTAATGCTATTTCTACTAGTATGTCATTAGCTTCAAATTAGACTATGCCATTTCTCCTCTGACCTACATCTCTGAAAAGCTTCCTCAATTCCAATCATCTACTCATTTGTTGATGTAAAGCTCAAAAGGTATGGAATATGGCTTGGACCATTTGGATTCGAATTCTAATTTAAACCCTTTTTTCTTACAAATAAAAAAATAGTGTAAAGAACTGTTTGGATAAATGAGAATAGGTCCAGTTTTTAAAATTTTAATTGTTTATTTTTCCTATTTAATAACCATGTTAACTACCATAAATCTATTTTTGAGCAAATTCTTCTTTTACATTAATCCCACTCAAGTTTGCAAGGATTTCCTTACAATATTTGTTTCATTTAATCTTCATCACAATTCTGAGAAATGTATGAATTCACCATCTTCTTCCAGCTTTGTTTATTAAGTCCATTCTGTGTGCTAGGCATGTTGTAAATACTTTAAATTCAGTGCCTCAGTGAATTTTGTAATAACTCTATGAGTTAGGTACAATTTTTAACCTTTTTATAGATAAGGAAACTGGAACTCAGAGAATTTAAATAAACTGCCCTGTCTCCCAGATGTGGTAGAGTCATAATCACTATCCTCTCTCTTTGGTGGTACTGGGGTTTGAACTCAGGAATTCACACTTGCTATGCAGGCTTAAGCCATGCCCCCAGCCCTATTGTTTCATGTTGTCTTCAGGATCTTATTACATGCATAAGTTTAAAGTAGAGCTTAAGACTCTAAATCTTTTGCATTTCTTTTTTTAATATAGTGTGTTGGCTTTCAAATGAAAGAATGTAGAATTCTAAAAACATAGCTGACCAGAGGTAGACCTGTGACACATTAACATAGCAATTGAACATAAATAAGTGTTGCCCCAACTTGTTTACCTATACTTTTATAGTATACCTTTCATTTTTGTTTTTAAAGCTTATACCCAGAATCTGAGCAGAACCAAACTCTTGCTATACTGGAAATAATCTTACCATTTGGACAATTTGGAGAAACTGTTGTCTGTGTGTGTATTTTCTCTCTCTCTCTCTCTCTCTCTCTCTCCTCTCTCTCTATCTCTCTCTCTCTCTTTCTCTGTACATATTCTCCCTCTCTTTCTGTGTGTGTGTGTGTGTATTCTCCCTCTCCATGTAGAATTCTAAAAACATAGCTGCCAGAGGTAGACCTGTGACACATTAACATAGCAATTGAACATAAATAAGTGTTGCCCCAACTTGTTTACCTATACTTTTATAGTATACCTTTCATTTTTTTTTAAAGCTTATACCCAGAATCTGAGCAGAACCAAACTCTTGCTATACTGGAAAAATCTTACCATTTGGACAATTGGAGAAACTGTTGTCTGTGTGTGTATTTTCTCTCTCTCTCTCTCTCTCTCTCTCTCCTCTCTCTATCTCTCTCTCTCTCTTTCTCTGTACATATTCTCCCTCTCTTTCTGTGTGTGTGTGTGTGTATTCTCCCTCTCCCCCCCCCTCTGTACATATTCTCTCTCCTTCTCTTTCTGTGTGTGTGTGTGTGTGTGTGTGTGTGTGTATTCTCCCTCTCTCTCTCTCTCTCTCTCTCTCTCTCTCTCTCTCTCTCACACACACACACAAAAACAAAAACACACATCCCATTCTTAGTTCCTCTTGTTACAATGAAAATTGTTGAGCATTTTTACTCCCCATTTCTCCCTTTAGTTAGCCGAGTCCATGGAGAGCTTTGCTGCATTTCAGAACTTACTGTTGCTTTAAGACTACACATGCTTCCATTACTACACCTAAAACTTGTTTATTTAGTTGTGTAAATACTATGTAAGACTTGTCTTTTCCCTCCATTAGTAGGAAAAAATAAAGTGGTAGGCTTTTTAAAGACTTTCTGTTACTTGGAATTCTTTTTTTTGTTTGTTTGCTTTTTGTTGTTCTTGGAGTACTAAGGGTTGAACTTAGGGCCTTATGCTTTTCAGTCAGAATTCTTTTGTATATTCTGTATTGTCAATTTGTTTTAAAAAATAATTTGTGACTCATTGTGTTAAATTTAAAATATACAAAAATATTTTACCTACCTCATCAGCTTCATAGTTTATTAAGTTAATTTTACTAATGTCAATCAATAACATTATACTCTTCCCTATTGAAAGCAGGTTACATATTCATTTGGAAAACTTTATAGCATTATCAGCTTATTGCCATACATTGTTAGAAAGAATGCCCTCTATTATCCAGAGTGTGATCTTGGTAGTAAATTATAATAATAATAATTTTAAAAATTAGGTTTAGGGTTTTGAGGTTGTTCTTTCTCTCCACTTTCTACTCTTTAATCCCCAGCTAACATATAGAGTAATAAATTGATTAACTTACATGTGTGTGTTCATTCTATGTCAGTTGATTTGTTGTGGTGATAGTTTTATTCAAAGGCTGATCCACATATTTTTTATGTCATTGTTGATTTCTGCAGATGTGTCGCACTTTGCAGTTTAGGTATTTGGATTTGTGAAGAACTAGTCCACGAGTCTCATCATCCTCAAATAAAAGAAGCTCTAAATGTAATTTGTGTTTCCTTAAAGGTAAAGAAAACTGTTTCTAAAATATATTAAGTTAATATAGTATGCATGGTTATTTTTTCCTCCACGTGTTAATTATATCTTGTGCCCATGTGGAATAAAACATTAAGTAAATATTTTCATTATTTTATTATTACATTTTACCTTGATTCTGACTTTCCTTAAGAATGATGCCAGTCTTGAATTTAGGGTACTTTTGTGATGACTTCTTTTACCCAAACTTTTTTATGCATTTGGCTTTGTCCATAGAATACATGTGGATGACTCCTGAAAAGAAAAGCAGTCATTAAACACAATATATTCAGGGGTTTTGTTGGTTTGGTTTTTTTTAACTAGTATTTTTGTGACTTATTCTTTCATCTTTATTACTTCCTAAATGCTTGAAGTGGTACTGGAGGTATGGCTCAAGCAGTAGAACACCTGCTTTGCAAGCATGAAGCCTTAGTTCAAGCCCCAGTCTCACCAAAAGAAAAAAAAAAAAAAGAAAAAGTCATACTAAGTGCTTGAAGTGTTAGACTTTTGGCTTTATCATTAAAAATAAATGCTATCTGTTTAGTCACAATAAGATTGCTTTAGAAATGTCATTTGGAGAATCTGAATGAATAATTGATTTTTTTTTTCTTTTGGGTTTTGTTTGGATTTTTTTTGAGATAGAACTTCACTGTTTAGCCCAGGCTGGCCTTGAACTCAATATGTAGCTCAGGTGCCCTCAAAACTCATGATCCTCCTGCCTCTGCCTAACAAGTGCTGGGATTACAGGTGTGTACTACCATGCCCACTTTAAACAGGTGGGTTTTAAAAAAAAAAAACAACTTAAGAAAGGATGTATATTACTTACTTTTAATATTACAGTACCTTTTTAAGGTTCTAAGCATGCAGCCTACATAATAGGTATTTTGGGGTTTCTTTTTCCTAATAAGTGGTTTCGAATAATATTTACTTGGCAGATTTTCTGAATATGTACTATGTTTGAAGCACTTTGCTAATCAAAGTGAAGGATAACAGGATGAAAATCAATGTAAATATTCGCTTCAACAGATTAATAATACAATAGTTGAAGAATGCTAGAATAATAGTTATAAAATATATAAAGCTGAGAGGACTAAAAGAGTAGTGCATATAAACTGCTAATGGAGTTCAAAGAGAGCAGAGATCACATTGACTTTTATCAGAGAACACTTGGGGAGTTTGAAATATGGGTAAGATTTGGACATAGATAAGCATAAAAATTTGTGCCACTGGAGAAGTCTCCTGAAAATTGTAAGTGTAGAAAATGTCAGGATCATATGAGCACTTTAAAAGTTCATTTTGGAAGTATTGTGAAAAGTAGGTTGAAATGGTGGAAAATTGATAATAAGATTAGTAGTTTAGAGGCCATTGCAGAAATCCAGGTAAGAGAAAATGCAATAAAAATTTAATGAGCACAAACATTACAAAGAAAAAGTATGATAATATGTGTTTGGGGAATATATTGTGATTTTTTTTTAATCTTGCAACTGCAAATTTATTTTCCTAATAGTACTGTACTGAAATTTACAGTGGCAAAAAGAAACATGCGAAATTTCAAAATTGTGAGCAGCTAATGCGTTGACAAATAGTTCATGAAAAACTTTCTAACACTAACTTTTGTGCTATTATTGCAGTTTGCTAATAAAACAGTAGCCCACGTAGCTTGTAACATGCTTCACATGCTGGTTCATTATGTGCCTAGACTTCAGATTTACCAGCCTGATTCTCCCTTGAAAATTATTCAAGTAAGTAATTTCTCGTTTATTTTTATTATAACCTTGTGAAAAAATCTTATATTTGAACACCTTCAAATATAAAATTATTTAATAGGTGTCAAAATATTTTTGTATAGCTAAATAATGGCTACCCATCATGCTTTTTGTAACATCAGAATTCCCAACAGCTCATTTATATTTTATGTTAGAAGCTTGTTTTTCTGGTTTTGGACCAAGTAAAATCATTAATTTATTCATTGTAGAGAAAATTAAATGCTAATCACAAGCTTATTTATACCATTTTCTTTATAAATCTATATTCTGCTTCATTCTCTCTTAGGTGAATAAATATGTCATCCTTCTATTTACCAAGATCAGGATATTAGTCCTTTCCTTTCCTTTTCAGTCATTCATTTATGAAGTTTTGGACGTTTTGTTCTAATTCAGTATCTCCACTTCATGCGACACCTGAAAGATTTTGGCCCTTTCTTATTTCTTTCTTGAGATATTGCAGTAGCTTTCTACTGACTTGTATTCTGTTTCATTTCAAGACATGATTCACATGACTCTATCATGGTCCCTGAAAAAAAAAGCGAAAACAAAATGTCAGATTTTCCTTTGGCTATAAAATACAGCTCAAATTTTTCAGCTGTGAATTCAAAACCTCCAAATGAAGACCCAGTCCATCTTTCCAGAATCATGCACAGATTTCTTTGAAATACCATACTGTCCACGCAACTGAGTCTGCTTACTCGTTAATAAATGCAACTCATTCTCTTTTTCTTACCCAAAATATTTTACTTCTCTAACTCCTCCCAATACTTCAATAATTACTACTCCTCAAAAAAATTGAAATCCCTACCTGCTCTCCCAAATCAGAATTTTTCTTTGTAGTTTTATCACATTCTTCCAAAAGATGAAAATATTAAGCATCTACTATATACCAGTCTCCTTTTCATAAATATTAAATTCTTAAAAGTTGTTTCAGATAGATTATTCCCTTTTCAAGTTCACCTTCTTTAAGAGGAAGAAACTAAAGATTTAGTAACTACATAAAGTCACAAACTAGCAGGTCAGAAATAGAATTCAGACCTTAGCCTTTAATGTGCAAAATATTGAGTAAGTATGTGTTGGCTAAAAGAGTAGGTTGGTGGTTAGATGCTTCTGGATTTAACTAACCCTGCCTCTGCCACCTCCTGACTATAACTCTGAACAAGTTACTCAGCTCACTAAACTCTGAACTCATTACATTTGGGATAGAAATACTTACCTCACAGATTCTGTAAAGACTAGTGAGAATTGCATGGAGAGTACTTAATACTTTGATGGTATATAAATAATGAAATATAAATACTAATGTTGGCTGTAGCTATTATCATGTAATGTGGGATGTGGTAACTGGATGTGAATGTGCATGTATGTGTCTAGTAATGAAACATCTTTTTTTAGATTTATTTTTCTTAAATAAATTCTTATTAGGATATATTGATGATACAGGGTGGTTCATAGTGACAATTCTGATTAGACTAAGGAGATTAAGGTGACTGCATATGGTAGATGAACTTCATATACCTATATGAAACAGAACTAGAAAACCTCTTACAATTGCTTTAAGCAGAGTGGGGAAGGGGCTGAGAGGGAGAGATGATGTGGGCCATGTAAATAATGTACGATATAAGTCTAGTAATAAAACATTTAAAATGTTAACGCCTTTGAAAATTTTACAACTTTAAGATTATTATTCTGGAGGCTAGGGATATAGTTCAATGGTAGAGTGCTTCCAAATTGTTTCCCCTATTTTCTTCATCAGTTCACATTTATTATTAATACTTAAGAATGTATCAGCATATAGAATTAATACAAATTGTTTTACTATGCTCTGTGCTGGCTAGATAAGCATCAAGAGTTGTTTTTTTCTACCTAATCTTGAAGAAATGAAACCCCAAGTAATGGAGAATTTCACTAATGGTTACCTATTTGCAGATTTATAGAAACCCAATTTTATTACCAGTACCAGTGTGAAGCAGATACATCTGATTTACTAGATTTAACTAGGGAGTAAAGTCTTTCTCTATATAAAGTATATTTGTATTTTATTTTTTGGTTGAAACCTAATTGCACATTTATGGCATGCACAGTATATTATCAATATATTAATATATTTAGTATTAGCATATTAAACATTATAATTTCATTGTGATATCATTTAAAATCCTTATTATAGCTTTGTTTGCTTTTTGGGGTTTTTTTGTGTGTTTGATATAGGTTCTTAGTGTGTAGCCCATGCTGTCCTCAGACTTGCTATGTATCCCAGGTTGGCCTTGAATTCATGATTCTCCTGCTTCCACCTCCTAAATTCTGGAATTATAGGCTTGTGTCACCATGCCCAGCCTCTTCTAGATTTTTTGAACTTTTTTGGAAGTATATACTACATTATTGTTAGCTGTAGTCACTCTACTGTGTGATATAACACCACAACTCATTCTTCCTGTCTAACAATAACATTGTAAACTATTGGCCAACTTCTTGGTTTCCCACACCCATATCTTCCTCAGCCTCCTGCCACCACAGGATTTTACCTTTTTATATCTGAATAGTATTCCATTATGTTTATATCCACTGCATTTTCTTTCTCCATTCATCCATTTTTGGACACTTAGGCTGATTCCAGATCTTGGCTACAGTGAACATGGGAGTTCCCATGTCTCACCAACCTACTGATTTCATTTCTTTTAGATATACCCTGTAGTAGGATTACTAGATCATATGGTAGTTCTCTTTTTAATTTTTATGAGAACCTCCATACATTTTTTCACAGTGGCTATACTCTTTATGTTCCCACCAACCAGAATGGGTAAAGGTTTCCTTTTCTCTGCCTTCTCACCAGTGTTTGTTAGCTTTTTTTTTTTTTTTTCTGAATAGCTATTCAGATTGTATTTAGGTGGCATCTCACTGTAGGTTTTTGGTTTTGGTTTTTTGTGTTGGTTATTGAACTCAGGACCTCAATCTATACCCCAGTTTTTTTTTTTTTTTTTTTTTTGCTTGCTTGGTTGGGTAGGCAGGCAATCTACTGCTTAAGCCACTCCACCAGCCCATTATTGTAGTTGTGATATGTATTTCTCTGATGAGTAGTGATGTGTTCAGCATTTTTTCATGTATTTATTGGCCTTTTTTAAATGTATTCTTTTGAGGAATGTCTGTTCAGATCTTTTGCTCATTTTTTCAATCCATTTGTTTTCTTGCTGTTGAGCTGAGTTCTTTAGAATGTATGTTTAGATTTTTTTTAACTTAATCCATTGAAACATACAGTAAAAATTTGCACTGGTATATTTTCAATATATATACTTAAAAATTGGAATAAAATCAGCATAGTTGCATAAACCTGTATTGCCAGCTACTTGGGAGGTTGTAGCAGGAGGATGGCTTGAACTAGGAATTTGAGGCTAGCCTGAGCAACATAACATGTAAGAAGACCCTCATCTCAAAAAGAAAAGGGATGAAACCAAGCAATTTACAGGGTAGATGATAGTACTGAATATAAATGTTTCACCTTATTTTAACAGTGTCTTTCTGAAATGCTTCATGTTCCCAATATCAAATATCTTCATGTAATATTCAGCTTATAATAAATGTCAATTTAAAAAGCTACATTTTTTTATCAAAAGCATATATTTACATATACATATTGAGTATCCTTTATGTGAAATGATTGAAACCAGAAGTGTTTCAGATTTTGGAATTTTTCAGATTTTGGAATGTTTTCATAGATTTCACCAGTTGAGCATTCCTAATCCAAAAATCTGAAATGCTTCAAAACCTACCTTTTGAGCATGATGTTAGCATTCTAAGTTTTGGATTTAGAAGCATTTTGGTAATTAGGTTTAGGGATACTCAACCTGCATACATAGGAACATCTGTAAAGACCTCAGAATAGATTCTGTGAGGTGTTAGAATTACAATGAACTTTATAAATCTATTCACTTATCTGTATCTTGTGATTTTTCTATAATGAACGTAATTATCTGTGTTTATACCTGTGGATTCATTAATTGAATTAGGATGAAATTATTTGTATTTGACAGAACATGTATGTAGTTTTGATGCTGTACATGAGGACTGTAAATAATTGGTAGTTAAGTGTCCTTGAAAAGCTTACCTACTACAAATTACATTAACAATGTGTGTATTAGGTGATATGTTTAGATAATGTACTTAGGATAAATTTGCAGCACTACTTTTTTTTATATACCATGAATTTAACCATATTTTGATCTTATTTTTGCTGACAGATCCTAATAGCCACTATCACCCACCTTTTGCCTAGTACAGAAGCTTCATCTTATGAAATGGATAAGAGGGTAATTTAAATTTTGTTTGGCATTTTAATATGTGATATCTAGAATGCTTTATATTTAAAATTTTTTAAAAGTGTATATGTTTATTGTATAATTAAAGGTGTATATATAAAAAAGAATTCATCTTTTATTTAAAAATAATTATAATCTAAAGTATATCTTTCCATTATTTATTTATAACCAAAGTATTTTTTAGGTCAAATTTCATGGCCATTTGACAAAATCTTTGAATCTTAGTAAGGAATCTTGGAGAACATTCTTTTCACTTACAATTATTTTACTATATCCTGCCCATTTATGGTGATATTCCTGAGGATTATTGATTCTGAGAAACTCATCACCTCTAAAGGCAGTCACTTGTTTTTGTGTAGGAAGTAAAGATATCTCCAGTAAGCAAAGTACATATAATATGTAGAGGTATGCATACTACTCAGGAGAATACATTCCCTCTGTCCACCAAAAAGTTTTACAAGTAGGATTTACCTTCATAAATTTATTATGAGAGTTCTTTAATTATTTGATATTGGATTTATTAGTTCTAGAGTTTCTTTTTATAATTTTCATATCTTCTTGAAATTCTGCATTTCTTCATCGATTATAAGTATCTTCTTTTAAAGACTCCTTAACTTTTTTATCATAATTATTTTAAAGTCTTTGTCTCCTAAATCCAATATCACATGCATCCCCAAGTCTGTTTCTATTGAGTGTTTTTCCTATTGACCAGAAGTTCCATTTTCATATGTGTGCTCATTTTGTTGTTGCTGTTGTTGTTGATAGTGAGGTCAAAAATCAGGGCATCATACTTGCTAGGCAGACGCTCTAGCACTTCAGCCACCCTGCCAGCCCTTTTTACTTTAGTTATTTTTCAGATAGGGTCTCCTTTTTTTGTTTGGAACCAGCCTCAGACCACAGTCCTCCTATGTATGCCTTCTGCATAGCTGGAATTAGAGGTGCATACCACCACACCCACCTTATTGTTGGAGACATGGTCTTGCTAACTTTTTTTTGTCTGAGCTGGTTTCAAACCACAGTGTTCCTAATCTGTGCTTCCCAAGTACCTGGGATTAAAGGTGTGCATCATCACTATGAACTGCTAGTTCTCTTTATTATGTACCATACATTATACATAATGTGTGGAGACTGGATCTGTGCTGCCCATTACGGTAACAACTTATCCAATATAGCTTAAAATTAAAGTTTACATTAAAATTCTAATTCTTCATTTGTACATTTCAAGTGCTCAATAACCACGTGGACAAATAAGACTATAGTGCAAAGTTCTGTTAGATAGGCTGCTTTGGATTCTATTAATTTTTTTCTCAAAATTATTTTCTTCATTTCCCTGTCATTCCATTCACAAATTCTGTTCTCCAGGTTTCAATGTTACTTCCTCTTAATCATATTGTATCAAAATTTGAAGTATGTTTTATTTACTGCTTATTTTTTCCTCATTAATTTACCGAACTCTTGATACTATAGTTATGTTTCTGTACCTATTACCAGTTATTTTCTTGTGTGGCCTACATGTCTTTATGCTTTTTTTTTTTTTTCAGTGTTACTTGTGCTGTCTTTCAAATCTCTGATTTCATGAGTTTACCCCAATTCTTTTGTTCTTTTCCCTTCAATTTAAGCCCCATTTAGACAGACAGATTGTATACCGCTTAATAAATACATTCTTCTTCATCTTTAAAAGGGACATACACAGTTTGAGACTCACTTATCTGAAGTGCTTGGGACCATAGTGTTTTAGATTTTGAGGTTTTGGTTTTTTTTTTTAATATTTGCTTACACATTATATTTTGGGGTTAGGACCCAAGAAGTGTCTTTATATTTCCTATACATCTTATACACATAGGCTAAAGGTAATTTAAAAAACTGTATTTATTGCACCCACATTTGGACTACATCTGGTCACATGAGATCAGGTGTGGAATTTTCCAATTCATGACATCATTTTGGCACTCAAAAAAGTTGGATTTTTGAGTTTTAGATTAGGAATGCTCAAATTATACTCTTATTTTTTAGCCAAGAGTCACAAATCCAGTTTGTAAACAATGTCTGAATACTAATAAGCCATATATTTCATGAAAAAATCTATACCACCAAGTTTTTTTCTCTCCCACTCTCTCTTAATTCACTCAACATTTATTGATCACAAAATATTTGTGGTATTTTGCTTGTACTAGTTATATAGAGATAAATAAGATAGGCCCTGCTCTCATTTAAAGATTAGAGAAATAAGTGAGGCAATACAACATAGTAAGTGCTTACTAACCAGGCAAGGTGATTTATACCTATTTTATACCTATATCCCAGCTACCTGTGTGGTAGAGATCAGAATCACAGTACAAAGCCAGCCAAAGCAAAAAGTCAGTAAGACACCTCCCTCCACCCCCACATCTCAACCAACAAGCCAGGTGTGGTGGTGCACTATAATCCCAGCAACTAATAGGCATAGATAGGAAGAAGGATTGCCATCCAAGACTGGCACCAGGCAAAAAACAAAGGACCCTAACTGAAAGTTAACTAAAGCACACACACACAAAAAAAAGTCTGGGGGTGTAGGTTAAGTGGCAGAGCACCTGCCTAGTAAGTGTGAGACCCTGAGTTCAAAGTCCCAGTACCACCAAAAAAATAATAGTAAGTGCTTCCTACAAAAAGGAGAAAGATGTATCTGATACAAGGTAGCATAGTAGAGGAATTAACTAATAAAGAGGATAGAACTTGTTAAAGGAAAACTTCTTAAAGATGAATAAGATTTGTTTCCTACATAAATAGTGGTAAGAGTTTGAGTCAGTTATTCCAAATAGAGGAAATAGTATGTGTACAATCAGAGGTATAAAACAGAATGCTGTATTCAGGGAAATACTGGTCAGTACCAGTCTTACAGAATATGAAGTATGCAGTTGAAAACAGGGAAAAATGAAATTGCTGAGATAGGAAGGTGCCAGGTTGTGAATGCCCTTAGACACAATGCTAAAAACCTTGGACTTTACAAAGGCCTTCTTTGAAAGTGACTTATTCAAAGGGTTTTTAATGCACAATGAAGTATGACCAGTTTTTTCAAAAATTACTCAAGATGTGAATATTGATTTAAGTGGAATTGCATGATAATTTGTGCAAATAGTCTCTATAAGAATTGGTGATACCCATGTTTATAGCACCATTATTCACAATAGCTAAGCTATGGAAATAGCCAAGATGCCCCACTACTGATCAATGGACTAAGAAAATGTGATATTTACATACAGTGGAATTTTATTCAGCCACAAAGAAGAATAAAATTTTGTCCTTTGCAGGTGAATGTATGGAACTGGAGAACATCATCTTAAGTGAAGTTAGCCAGGTTCAGGAGGCCAAAAGCCACATGTTTCCTCTCATCTGTGGAATATAGACTTAATATAAATACAGTAAAACTTTGAAAAACAGGTCACATATGAGAGGAGGAGAGTAAAAGAAGGAAGTGAAAAAGGTGAATAAGATTGATGTACTGTCTATACAAGAATGAATATATAATTCTTAAACCAGTTGAAACCACCGTAAGAAAGGGACTAAGGTAGAAAGAAGAAAAATAGAGGAGATGAACCAAATTGGGCTATAATACATATGAACATGCAAGTGCCACAAGGAAACTCCCTGTGTAGCTATCTTAAACAAGCAAAACTGTCATTTTTTCTTCTTTTTTTCTTACACAAAATCAGAGATCAGGAGAGCAGAATGGAGTGGGGGGGGGGTGATTAGTACCGGTAGGAAGGAGGAGGAGGTGGGGAAATGTTAAAGAGGGTGAATATGGTGCAAATAATGTGTATGTAAATGGAAAAATGATATCTGTTGAAACTATTCCAGGAAGTGGGAGAGGAGAGGGATGAAGGAGAATGGTAGACAAGGTGAATTCAAGTATGATATGTTTGATATATTGTAAGAACTTCTGTAAATGCCACAGTGTGTACCCCCACCCAGCACAATAAAAAAAAAAGAATTAGTGATATTCTAATACTAAGGTTAAAGGAATGGAGAATAGATATTCATAAAATGAAATCCACAACCAAGGAAAGGAATACAGGAAAAAAAGCACAATTGTTAGGGCTGACCATGTAGCCCATGTGGTAGAGTACTTGCCTAGTGAGCACAAGGCCTTGGGTTCAATCCTTTGTATTCTGAAGAAAAATGCAGAATTGTTGGAGAAGATGAGTTTCAATTTTCTGTTACCAGATGCTGACCACCAGCAAAACAATTATTATACCTGATTAGAAAGTTCAAGTCTAGAAATAAAATTATTGGCCTTGTCAGCACGTGAGTAGTAGTAAAATTGTGAGAATATATGAGATCACTTAAGGAGAAAAGACAAAATAGGTACTGTCTGGGGGTTGGTACGGTGAGATGGGGGAAGATATAAGGAAAAGGGTATAGGAGAGTGAGTGTAGTAGAAATATTATGTAGTCATGTATGTAAATGGAAAAATGAGAACTATTGAAACTACTCCAGGAATGGTGGGGTGGTGGGGGAGACAGGATAAAAGAGAATGATGGAGAGGGTGAATTCAGCTATGATATGTTGTAAGACCTTTTGTAAATGTCACAATGTACTCTCAGTACAACAATGATCATTTAAAAAGAAAAAATTTAAAAAATAAAAGAAAGCTCAGATGATCATTAAAATTTCTAGCAATAAAGTACTTTTAATTTAAAAAAAAGGTAGCAAAGTATGGCAATTAAGGAATAGGCAGAGAGCTGGGTGCCAATGGCTCATGCCTGTAATGCCAGCTACTTGAGAGACTGAGATCAAGAGTAGTGTGGTTTGAGGCCAGCCCAAGCAAATAGTTCATGAGAACTCCATCTCCAAAATAACCAAAGCAAAATGGACTGGAGGTGTGGCTAAGTAGGGCCACAAAAAAAAAGGAAAGGAGGGAGGGGACTTAATAATTAAGTGACTGGAGGACAAGTAGGATGGGTGAGGAGTAAGAAGACTAGGTGCAGGAGAGTATAACCACATGGAAGGAAAGA